ACTAGACATATATTTTGTTCCTTAAACTAGTTGACTAAACTATGACCTTAGAAATTTTAAGGTTATATGTATATTATTTTGTCTCATCCTTTGTATAACAAACCTACACAGACCTTCATCACTTGTCTCATTTTTTTCTATTTTGGAAAATATCGTCACTCCCCTATCCTTTTAACATCTTTTACATTCTCATGTTCATTCTCTCTCTCTCTCTCTCTCTCTCTCTCTCTCTCTCTCTCTCTCTCTCCCCCCCTCTTCCTCCCCCCCCCCTCCCCCTCCCTCTTAATATTAACAAATAAATTTTCCATCTGTTGTGAGAAGTCTTGTCCTGGGGATACTAAGCAACACTTATTCCCTTTTAAGGTTTTAGTGTCAAGCCAATGTTTGATTAAAGTTTTACTGGGGAACCAATGAATCTACAGAGCTTACTTACCTAGATAACTGAGGGATTGCTGAGGTATATGTATAACCTGAGGGTATGCACACTGGAAAGCCTTTTCCTAGTATGGGTCATGTCTTCTCTTCCTAGCCTTCCTCAGATTGTATAATTTAACCGTCCCCAAATCCAGGAGACCATGTGTGATTAGGGCCAAATTACATAGAGTTGGCTGGGAAGAGTGGCTGAATACTCAGGTGATGGTCCAATGACCCTGCTTGGCCCTCCTTTAATGAATGAGCACAACCGTCAACAAGCCCAATTGGCCCTCCTTTAATGAATGAGCACAACCGTCAACAAGCCCAATTGTGACGATGTTTAGAGATCAGGCACAACTGAAGTCATGATGATGATAGTTATTTCATGCAGTAGAGACTGCTGTACAGCATCATCTTATTAAAAGGACCTGAAATTTAAAGGGATTTGGTGCTAGGAGCCACATATGAGGGAGAACATACGTTGTTTGTTTTTCTGAATCTGTTGCTTAGTATAGTAGTTTCTAGATCCATCCATTTACCTGAAAATTTCATTATTTCATCTTTCTTTACTGCTGAATAGAATCCCATTGTGTAATTATACCACATTTTTGTTAATCACTCGTCAGTTGAGGGACACTTAGGTTGCTTCCATCTCTTAGCTATTGTGAAAGGAGCAGCAAGAAACATGGTTGTACAAGTGTCTCTACAATAGGATGAGTTCCTAACCCTAACCCTAACCCTAACTGCTGAGCCATCTCTCCATCCCCCTAATTTAAGCTTAAAAAAAAAAATCAAGAATATACTATATATTGGTATAAGTATCTTAGTTTTGAGAGTAATTCATTTACAGTGTGCCCTGTTCTTTTATCTAGAACATGCTGATGGTTTATGCCACAAGTTAACAACTGTGTGTCCAACTGTGAAACCCCAGACTCAAGGTCTAGCAAAAGATGCTTGGGAAATCCCTCGAGAATCTTTGCGACTAGAGGTTAAACTAGGTCAAGGATGTTTTGGTGAAGTATGGATGGGTAAGAAGCTTGAACTTTGTTGTTGTTTCATTTGGTTGTTTTGGGACCATAAATTAAAATATCACAATATATGATAAAATATGTAAGATGTGTATTTATGGTTATATAACTATTGTTCATTGAGATTTGGTCTAAAAATCCCTTGAGATATAGATCTAAAGAATAAAAGAAATTATTTCTCTAGGAACATGGAATGGAACCACAAAAGTAGCAATCAAAACACTAAAACCAGGTACAATGATGCCCGAAGCTTTTCTTCAAGAAGCTCAGATAATGAAAAAATTAAGGCATGATAAACTTGTTCCACTCTATGCCGTTGTTTCTGAAGAGCCAATTTATATTGTCACTGAGTTTATGTCAAAAGGTATGTACATGTTATCTTTTAAAGTATTGTGTTGCAATTAAAATATGTCTTCATTTCTTTTTTTTTTTTTTTAATTTTATGTGTGTGTGTGTATATTGCCTGCATGTAGGTAAATGCACCCGTGTTGTGCAATGCCCACGGAGGTCAGAAGAGGCTGTTGGGTCCCCTGGGACTGGAGTTAACGGACAGTTGCTAGCTACCATGTGGGTGCTGGGATTCGAACCCGGGTCTTCTGCAAGAACAACCAGTGTTCTTAACCGCTGTGCCATCTCTCCAGTCCCCCATTTCTATTTTTTTAATTTTTAAGATTACATTTACTTTACATGTGTGTTGGGGGGGGGGGTCACACAGCATGTCATGGCACATGTGTGGAGGTCAATAGACCACTTGCAGAAGTTAGTTTTTTCTTCCTACCTTTTGAGTCCTGGGGCTCAAACTCAGATTGTCAGGCTTGATGCCAAGCTCTTTTACCCAATGAGCCATCTTGCCAGCCCTCTATTTTTATACATGCAGATTTTTATTGTGTAGTACTTTCGAACTTGAGACTTTTGTATAGACATTTAAAAAGAAATGTGATACTTTGTTTCAGAGGATATTATGAGACTTTAAAGAAAATCTATTTTGAATGTAGATTTGACTAAAAGAAATGGAATGGCTGGGGAGGTAGAAAAGTAACAAATTGAATCAGCGTGATAAATTAACATCTGTAGCACTGAAGCAAAGAAGGTAACATTAAAGGAAATCCACTTTGTCTCATTTTCATATGAACATAGTTCTTATACTCAAGACTTCCAGAAACTTCTGTTTTCCATTACAGTAACTCACATGTCTCTTAAGATACAAGGTGGGCTTTTCAATAACCGCTATGTAGGGCCAGGATCAAAATGAGGGAAGGCTAATGATCTTTCATCTTAATTCCTATATATGATACTTTAAAAAAGGAACCAGTAAGTCATGAAATGATGCTGATTGGCCTGTTTTTATCCATTTTGAGTTGGAGCTATTTTAAGTTTTTTATTTTTTACTCTTTGAGTCACACTAGTTAAAAGTCACCAAATATGTGACCCTCGCCAGTAGTCCACCTTGACTAATGAAGTAGCTCCCTCTAGTGGTAATGGGGGCATCTACACACAAATTTGCTATAGAAAAAAAAATTCCCTCTAAAAGAATTAAATAGCCTATTAATTGATAGCCAGTCAAACCTGAAGTTCCAAAGCATGTGTCCCTCCTTAGAAAGAATTTCTGCTGTAAACAGCTGCCACCTATGCCATTTGAAAAAGTGTATTTAATGAACTAGAAGAGTAAGGGAGAAAAGGACAAGGAACAAATTTAAATCATGGTATTTGTAGCATAAGAAATAAAATGGAGGTAAGGCTAATGGTCCATTTAGCTCCATGTATTGATTTTTAAAACTGTTTACTTGCTAGAACACAGTAGATAACTTGGTTAAGATTATTCCCAGGTGGGAGATTTAGAATACAAAATAACAAAAGTCTTTCTGGTTTTAAAACTGAATAATTCCTTATTTTAATACTCAGTTGCTTAGACATAGACCTCCACAATCCTTCAAGCTTATTGCCTTATGTGCTCCATCATAAACCTGTTGTGATCAGATAGATTTTCTTGCTTGAGTTCCATGCTTTTATTATTGTTTTTGTTTTCCCCTGCTATTGTACTGATTATCAAACCCAGGGTGTTGCACATGCTAAGAACATGCTTACCCCTTTGCCATGTCAACCTCAGCCCTGTGATCTTTGTTTATGGTATTTTCTTCACTTATTAATTTGGTTTCCCTAGATCTTGATCCGTTAAACCAATTCTACTTCCCTGATCCAGTGCCAAAGTCTTGGTCAAGCATAACATTCAGTTGTCATTTTTCTTTAGTGTCTTAATCTATAGCTGTCTCTCAGGCTTTCCTTGTTTTTCATAGCATTAAGAAAGCAGTCCAGTTTTACTTTATAAAAGTGTGATTTAATTTGAATTTCCAGTTTTACTTTATAAAAATGTGATTTAATTTGAATTTATTTGATGTTTCCTCTTGATTAAATTAAAAATATCTTGTTTTCCAGCTTTTATGAAAATTAACAACATTAATAGTTCACAGATATACACATATACACACATCACTATGGTACATAAGTCATTAAGTTATCAATTAGTCTCTGTATAAAACCTTTCTACATTGGTGTTCTGAGCTAGGTCCAATCATTCCTCAAGTTATGCTTTTACCTCGAGGTAGCACTTCCACAGCAGCCAGTTTAGCTGTTTAGTTTTAACTCCCTTAGGATATTCCCAGTTGTCTGAATTTTCTTTTTTTCTTTCTTTTTTTTTTTTTTTTTTTTTTTTTTTTTTTTGGTCTTTTTGAAACAGGGTCTCTCTGTAGCGCCAGCTGGCCGGGAACTCACTATGTAGACCAGGCTGGCCTTGAACTCACAGAGATCCTCCTGCTTCTGCCTCTGCCTCTGCCTCTGCCTCTGCCTCCCGAGTTCTGGGACTATAGATGTGCACCACCATGCCCAGCATTGTCTGAATTCTTGATTCAGATTGACTTGAAAAATCTTTAGTCACAATTAGGATATTGGCCAAAGTGGGAGGAGGTGGGAGAAAATAATCTGGTCATGTTTTCTATTAGGATAGGAAAATGGTTTGTTTGTTTTTCTTTTTTTAAAACTGTTATCAAGAGAAGTTTTCAAAAATTTCAGTTTGGGGATCTCTACTGGAATCTTTAAGATAATTACTTGAAAACTCCAAAATAGCAAAAAATCTTTTTTTAAACTGAGAAATTTTATGTTATGATTTGGTCATTTGTTTGGGGTATGGAGGAATACTTATTTCAATCTTAATGTAATATTTGAATTTGCCATGAATATTTTACTGTCTCTTACAGGGAGTTTGTTAGATTTCCTTAAGGAAGGCGATGGAAAATATTTGAAGCTTCCACAGCTGGTCGATATGGCTGCTCAGGTAGTTGCATATACATGTATCAATTGATTCAAGAATATACATTTAAAATGCCGAATAATCATGTCAAACTGTTATAGCTTATATAGTGAAATCATGGCGTCTTGGAAGAGGAAGAAACATTGGAGATGGTCGGTCTAGTGTGAGCTCCTAACACTGCAGATGATGCAGTGTCGAAGACTAGTGGTACCTAACATTCATCTAACTTTTCAGTAGTAGAAACAGAACTTAGTATAGAACCAGCTATAGCTCTCTAGTCCATTGCTAGCCTATATAATGTGGCTGTTTAAAAGTGCTTCCACAAATACAAAATTTGTATTTATTTCAGCAGATAAATTTAAGAAAATTAAAATGGGTGAAGATTATTCCAAACAATATTAGAAATTACAGTGTATCCCAAGGTTCTTTTATTTATTATAGTCTAAAATAAGAATTAAAATGGCAATATACAGTTAAGACTTAGTCTTTTATAAATTTGTCTAGATTTTTGTTGCAAAGTTTCTATTAAGGTAGTGTTTAAGTATGTAAGGCATTGTATTGGCTTCAGTTGATTTGCTGCTTCTGGAGCTCTTACCTGTTAGTGAGCATCCACATATCCACAGCATCTGATAATCTAGACAGACTGTATGCTAAGCATCTGTACATAGGAGACAGCCATATGCTAGGCTTTTGAGCGCTCTGTTGGGGGAATGGCAAACCTCTGCTTTGTGGACCACGATCAGTTTCTGTTGGGCCTCTACTCTTCTTTTCACAGCCCTTCACAAATGTAAAAACCAATTTTTAGGTCTTAAGGCACACACAAATAGGCCATAGCTACATCTGGTTTGTAAGCTTCAGTTGTGTCTGATGTGGATCTTGTGGGCTTGTCCAGAGACTACATAATCCTATGAGTTATCCCTTTTAACCACTGGTAGAGGAAGACATCAGGACATTGTGCTGATCATGGTGATACACCTGGGACCAAAAAAATCTTCATCTTCGAAATGCATGTTAGATATTTTCTTCCCCATACTGTGTTAGGGGTGTGTCAGATTTTTGAAAGATTAATTTAACCTGCTTTTTTGTTGTTTTTGTTGTTACAGTACCCCCCCACCCCTGTTACTGTCATTTTTTTTTAAAAGATAATCTGTTTAACCAAAATTGTCTTCTTCCCTTTGCATCATATATTTTGTATTTTGTTTTCTCTTCAAGATTGCTGATGGTATGGCATATATTGAAAGAATGAACTATATTCACCGAGATCTCCGGGCTGCTAACATTCTTGTTGGAGAAAATCTTGTATGCAAAATAGCAGATTTTGGTTTAGCAAGATTAATTGAAGACAATGAATACACAGCAAGACAAGGTAAAATTGCTTTTATGTAAACGCTTATAATCAAATGTTCTACATTTTTCTTAGCGTTTTGAACGTACAGGCTCTTACGGAATAGGAATAGTTCTAGCAGATAGCCAGGACCTTACCTGTCCTTGCCTGTGCTCACTTGTGGGCCATCAGCATGCACAACGGGACTAGTATATGATGTGGAGAGGACAAGGTCCCTTTGTCCTAGAAAATAGGAATGGCTAGACAGAGAGGCAGCCACACTTTTGGCACTCACTTAACTTGCATGTTCATGTGGAACCTGGCATAACACCATCTGTAGATCACATGCTTCTAGGTAAGTGTTTACTATGCCACAGAGAAGGTCCCTCTCTGTGATCTATTGAAAGTTAGCTCCAGACACATGGCTTTGAAAAAACAAAAAAACCAGGGAGATGACTGAGCAGATAAAAGGACTTGCAAGGAAAAGCCTGATGACCTATATATTTGAGACACAGAACCCATGTAAAAAGCTTGGGTGTGGTGGCATGCATCTATGATCCCAGCTTTCCTACAGGGAACTGGGAAGTAGAGGCAGGAGTGAGCCTGGAGCAGACAGTAGAGCAGCTGAAACACCGCAAAGGGACCCTGCCTCAGGAAGGTGGAAGGAGAAAACCAACTCTCACAAGTTGTCCTCTGACCACCACACCAGGCTGTGGCATGCACAGCTCAAATTTCACACAGACATGCCACCACCCCCCCATCTCCATACACATTTAGAAACAAAACAAAAATTTAAAAAAAACTAAAAGAATAGAAGACATAGAAACATTGATTTGATACATAACATTGTATATAATAAATACTGCTTTAGCTTTCTGAGAGTTAGTTCCTGCAACAAACTTGATATCTTTGCATTATAAATATAGCAAGTAATATCTTTTTTACTTCTTTTAGCATGCCAGCAAATAAATGCTATTTTTGTATGTGTGCATTCATGTGTATGAGTACAGGTATGCACATGCCCCAGTAAGCATATGAAGGTCAGAGGTCAACATTGGGCATTGGTGTTCACCTTCTCATTTTCTTTTAGACCGGGTTTATTGTTCTGCAAGACAATTGCCAGGCTAGCTGGCCTACAAACTTCGAGGAATTCTCCTGTTGCCACCTTCCATCTTGCTGTGAAAGCACTGGGATTACAGACACATACCACATCTGGATTTACATGGATTCTAGGAATCCAAATTCAAGTTATGTCCTCAGGGTAGCAAATACTTTATCCACTGAGCCATCTCCCCTGTCCTAAATACCTTTTTCAACAGACTTCATGGGTTGTTGTACTGTTGCTTAGATCACAGGTGGTTCTTAGGCAGTGTACCTCCCCACCCCAAAGAGACAACAAATGTCTACAGACATTTTTGGTTGTTCCAATTTGAGACCTACTATTGACCTCTAATGGGTAGAGGCCAGGTATACTGCTAAGCATCCTGCAACATACAATCTAGATCCTACACACAGAACAAGTAATTATCAGGCCCAGAATAGTCAGTCTTGCCAAGGTGGAGAAACCCTGATTTAGCTCCACTTCTGTTTCTTCATACAGTTACCTCCAACAATTGTATATTCTTGTAATCTGTACCTGTAAAATCCTAACCATTCATTTAAAGCTCAAGTTAGCTGCCACTCTTATAATGAAACTTCTTGTGATTGTGACAAGTAAAAATTGAAGCATGTGGGGGGCTGGAGAGATGGCACAGTGGTTAAGAGCACTGACTGCTCTTTCAGAGGACCCTGGTTCAATTCCCAGCACCCACATGGTGGCTATGAACCATCCTTACTCCAGTTCCAGGGGAATCCGAGGCCCTCTTTTGACCTCCACGGCATTGCATGATACGGGTGCACTCACATGCAGGCAATACACTCATATACATAAAATAATAATAATAAATAAATAAAATATTTTAAAAATTGAAGCATTTGTCAAAATAGCTAAGAACTCTTATTTTACAACATTATATACACATACATATGTATATAACTTCAACATATACAATGCCTATAATCTTATTAGCATAAATACACAAACTTTATGAAAGCCAAGTTTTTTCTTGTGCACATACTATTTAGCATGATGCCTATGTATTAAAGTCATACACTGACTATCTGAGTAAATTAACACAGAGTTTTAAAACTGATAGCACAAGGGCCAGTAAGATGGCTCATCAGGTGAAGGAGCTTGCCACAGAAGCCTGGTAACCTGATTTGACATGTGGAACCCATAGAAATGTGGAAAGGTAGAGCCAACTCCACAATGTTTTCCTCTACCTCCATGCAATTGCCATGTGCCCACACAATAAAAAATGTGATAGCACAACAAAAACCCTAACCCAAAAGATACCACAAAACACAGAAGATTATGAGCAATAACTAATAGCTATTAAAACCCAGTAGAATGTGCCTTCATCCATAATTAGCTATAGCAACTGGCTGCCAAACTGTAAACAGATTTTAAGATGGTGTGGTGGCACAAACCTATAATCCTAGCACTTGAGAGATGTACGCTGAAGGTCAGGAGTTTAAGGTCATTCTGGGCTACATAGCATGCTAGAGACCAGATTCCATGAAATCTATTCTCAAAAAACCAAATAGTGAAAGAAAGAGGGAAGGAAGAAGGGAGGGTGTGCATGCACACACGCACACACACACACACATACACACAGGTTTTACCTAGACTTATGGCAAATGTTTGTAATTCCAGCTTTCAGGAGGCTGGGGCAGGAGGATTGTTAAGTTCAGGGCCAGCCTGGGATAGATAACAAGAAACCTTCCCCTAAAAAAGTTTTAATCCATGTTTTTGTCTTACTAAAACCTTTACTTCTGTTTTATTGACTCATTTTCTATTCTCACCATCAACTTTCTTTAATCATTGAATATAGGAAAGAATTGTCATTGATTTTAATGTAAAATTTAAAGTTAAAGCATTTTTCCACAAATTTTCTGTTTAAAGACTTTTACACTTAGAACACATACAGTAGGGATACTGACAAAGATTAGACCTCCTTATATTTACACAAATGGATATTTTAAAATGCTTAAGATTGTCAATATTGTTTTAGGTGCAAAATTTCCAATCAAGTGGACAGCTCCTGAGGCTGCACTATATGGTCGATTTACAATAAAGTCAGATGTCTGGTCATTTGGAATTCTACAGACAGAACTGGTAACAAAGGGGAGAGTGCCATATCCAGGTAAGCTTGGCTTTCACTAACTCTTCGCATGTCTCAACGTTGGCTTTTATGGGAGGGGTGCTAACAACAAAAACACGTGAAGAAGACAGGCTTTATTCTCTTGCTGCCCCTTTGTTTCTTATTTGGTGGCTAGCAGTGAGAGCCAGAATCCTTGCAAGCACAGGAGGCACGCCCCACATCACCTTGGCTTTCTCCTTTGTGTTTTCCCAAAAGGCCTTTTATCTGTACTGTTCTCTCAGATCAGAAGCATATCTTAAATATTCTGAGCTATACCTGCCCCCCCGCCAAGTAATTGTTCTTTTTTTAGAAGTACAACCGATGTGTTTTTGCCCTATTTTCTTCAATAGAGTGTTTTGAGAAAAAAATTATTTGTTATTACTAAAGCAGAAAAACAAAATGTGTTTTCCTCTCAAAAGTAAGACATTTATATAGGCTCTTGGGAGCAAGAGGAAATTTTAGCTCACTTCTCAAATGTTTCTACTGAAGTATCCTAATAGTTGGGGAAAGTTAAGGCACATAAAATCCAACCTTGAGGGAAAATCACTCCTCCTTAAATACTTGCAGCTATAGCTCTATGCCATCAGATGCTCTCTCCCACTTCCATTCGTTGTTTGCTGACACATCACCCTCTCCAGGAAGACTCCACTCCTGTCTTATTTCATGTGTCATCTTAAGACACATGTCAGTGGTTCTTCCCATACCTGGTCTTGTGGCTTGGACTCTCTTCCTCCAATACTGTCATTATTCAGAACTTAAACCTTAACATTACCCACAGCTGCACTCCTCTCAGAACCACAGTTTCATGTGTCCCTTTTCTGACCCTTCTGTCGTGCATCTTTCCTGTTCTCTCTACCCCAGCTCCAATAGTTTCTTAACACTACCAAAATCTTTACTCCATTGGTTGTACCAACTTTGCCAGCTTCCTCACTCTCTTCATGAAACCAACTCGCTTGCTTACATTTCATGATAAAGCAATATGATAACTCCCTTGTGTTTATTTTGTCCTTTGCCTTTCTCTAATTTTGTCATTATTTAGCAAAGTCATGGTACTGGGTTAAAATCCTGTTCAACCCTCTCCACCCCAGCAAACATAGCTGGAGAAAGAAAAACAGTTATATTAAGTAGTTTCACTTTGAATTTGTATGGCCCACTGCTTGGGCCATAATTAGTATTTCTAATGTCCACCTTAACTAGCTCACTACAAGCTACAAAAGTTAGACAAAAATGTATAAAACAACTGTTTTGACATTTCACAGACGACAAGGAAGACTGCATGCTTTTTTTAAATGAGACCCACATTATATCATCTTTCTCCCTGACATTTTCTAAATGGCGTGGCAATGAAGGCCAAATGGAAAACATCAATCCTGTTGACCAAAGGAGAAAAATGTCCAAGTGCTACCAGAAAGGAAGCAACCACAGTGAAAGAACTATATACTTCTGTATAACAACTCTTCTTAGGTCCTTGCTGAACTCCTAACTTTATATGCACAGGGAAAAGCAATGGGAGACCTAACAGAAAATAGCTACTATAAGTCTGGAAAGCTGGGCAGAGTTCAGAGCTCACAGAGTGCTAGGGAATCCTTGCTTAACCAAAATGAACATTTTGGGAAACATTTTAGGATTTTTGTTGAGGCCTTGAAAAGGCAGAACCAAACAAAACCTGAAGATAGGCCTTGACAAATAGAATCAGGTGATTTGACAATAAATTTATTGATAGAATAAAGGCTACAGTCTTATAGAAAAAGATAATATGGTCCAGATAATCCACAGTTTGTGATTCAAAATGTCTAGCATAAAATAGAAAGTTCCTAGAGTTAGAAAGTAAGGAAGAGATGATGGTTATCAGGAAAATTGGGGTGGAGAGATGGCTCAATGGTTAAGAGCACTGGCAGCTCTTGAAGAGGACGTGGGTTCAGTTCCCAGCACCCACATGGTAGCTAAAAACTATCTGTAACTCCAGTTCCAGAGGATCCAATACCCTCTTCTGAGCTCTGCAGGCTTTGCATGCATGTGGTACACTTTACATCCATGCAGCTAAACACTCATACACATAAAAATACAAATACAAATTTTAAAAAAGAATTGAAAGTCAATAGAACCTAGAGATAACCCTAGTTATGAACTTAGTAAAGGACTGCAAATTGGCTGCATGCATATGTGTGTGCATGCATGGATAGATATTTGAGGCAGTATATCCCTATGTAACCCAGTGAATTTGCTATTTAAAAATATCCCAGGCTGGCCTTTAACTTGTAGCAATCCTCCTGCCGACTTCCAGGTGCTGAGACTGTAGGTGTACACCACCAAAATTAAGAATATTTAAAATGAAAGAAAAAGTTAGCAAAATGATGGGGGAAAACTGGAGGATTTCAGTAGAGTTGGAATTTATAAAAGAAACAATCAAAGCTGGGTATAATGGCACATACCTGTAATTCCAGCAATTTAGAAGGCTGAAGCAGGAAGGTTACATAACAGGATCCTATCTCTAGTAAATAAGTAAATGTCGTATAAGATAGAATTAAATAGGAAGTGTAGAAGTGTAAAATAGCATATGAAATTAAGAATATATTAGATGGATATGGAAGACAAGATTAGTAGATTCAAAGGTACATTATTAGAAAAATGTCCAAAGTGATGCATAGATTAAATGCGTCTTTTTGAAAAGTGTATAAGAGAAGTGGGACATAGTGAAAAGGTCTAATTTCTCTGTACCTTGAGTCCCAGAAAGAGATGAGAAAGTGGAACAATAACAGTACTTGAAAAGGTGATAGCCAAAAATCTTCTTTATAAACAAACAGTTTCCGTTAATTCAGTGAACTTGAAGCAGGAGAGATAAAGAGAACTCAGTAAACTTCAGTCACAGAAATCATGGTAAAGTTGTAAAACTCAAGACTGAATATCCATAATATAAGTGGTATATTATCTTTAATGTGGTAACAGGTAGATCCCTGCCTTTTCCTTAGGAAGTTATCATTGGAATTACAATATGCTTCTTTGGCTTATTGTAATTCCAGTGATAACTTCTAAACTAATAGAAGAAGTTTAGCAGAAAGCTAGAGAAGGGGTCGAAGTGTAACTCAGTGGTAGAGTAGTAGGTGGAATATAGCTCTGTGGTAGAACGTTCACTTAACACACTAAGCTGTGTGTTTGTTCCCTAGCACAAAAATAAAAACCAGTAAGGTAGAATAATGAACAATGCTTGCTTAATGAAAATAAAAGGGAAGGACAAAAGGATAGATGGGACAGCTGGCAAATATGTAACAGGATGATAGTTAAATCAGTAATACCCATAGTTGCATCGTGTAAGTGCACCAAACATTCCAGTTAAAAGACAAGGACCTGACTTTGAGTAAACGCACATAAATCATAAGTACTGTACTACTTTTTTAGATGATCTGTGTGTGTGTGTGTGTGTGTGTGTGTGTGTGTGTGTGTGTGTGTGTATAAATGTATGTACATATGTGACTGGACACACAGATTTTGAGTGCATGGAGACCAGAAGAGGGCATCAGGTGTTCCCCCCTATCATACCTCCTATTCCTTTTGAAGCGGTATCTCTTTCTAAACCTGGGGCTCATGTTTTTCTCAGCTAGCTGGAAGCCAGCAAGCCTCAGCAGTCCTGTCACTGCTGCACTGGAGCTAGGGTTTACAGGCATGCACTGGTCGTCTGTCTGTTATGTGGATGCTGGAATCAGCTCTGGTCTTCATGACTGTGGAGCAAGCACTCTTAACCACTAAGCTATCCTTACAGCTCCTATAGTACTGTTTTTAAGAGATAGACCCTAATACAAGGTGTACAAAATGATTAAAATTAAGAGGGTGGAAAGAGACATACTATGCAAAATGCTAGCCAAAAAAGAAAATATATGTAGCACTTAACTTCAAGGCAGAGAAATACTACTACAGATGAAGAAGGATATTGCATAATGATAAAAAAGGTCAGTTCAGGGACTGGAGAACCCCCTTCTTGCAGAAGACCGGGTTCTGTTCCCAATACCCACATGGCAGCTAACAGTTGTCTGTAACTCCAGTTCCACAAGACTCCAGTGCTCACTTCTGACTTCCTCAGGCATTGCACTATACGAGTGCACTTACATATATGCAAGCAATACACTCATACAAATAAAAAATAAAAATAACAGAATTTTTTTAAAAAGAGTTCAACAGAGAAACATAAAAATCCAAAATGAATGTATAACTACATAGCTATAAAATATATAATGTGATTAATATATCTTCAGTAAATTAAATGTTCAGGTGAGAATCAGAATATAAACAATTTGTAGATTGCTGCTCTTTTTATTTCATCAAGGGAGAGCTAGGGATTGAACCCAGGGCCCTGCATATGCCCAGCTTGCACTGTACCACTGAACTACCTGCACCAACAGGCCCCCAGATTGCAAGGCTTCAAAGAAGAAAAAGATAATACATTGCCCCTCTTTGATTATGAAAAAGGAGTCACATGTAGCACCAACAGCTATTTGCTATTATTAATGCTAAGTAATTACTGTTTGATTTTAAGTATTGACACTGGGCTAGAGAGATGATTCAGCGGTTAAGAGCACTAGCTGCTCTTGCAGAGGACCCAGGTTCGAATCCCAGCACCTACATGGCTGCTAAACAACTATCTGTAACTTCAGTTCCAGGGCATCCAGTGCCCTCTTCTGGCCTCCATAGTCATTGCATGGCATAGGTGCACTTGCGTACATGCAGTCAAGTCAAGTACACTCATACACGTAAAATAAAAATAAATTAAAAAAATTTTTTTTAATTGCTTAAGTATTGACACTGTTAGAATCGTCTTGTCTTTTTTAATAGAAGAATGGGAGCTAGAGAATTGACTTCCTGCAGTGCTGAGGGAGTTTTATCTTACTCAGAATCTTAGAAACTCTTATAGGAAATAACTATCTTCCTGAAGATCAAGACTGTTTCTCCTGGAGGCCATTTCTACCATATTTTACTTTTGCAACATATTTTACTTTCAAAACCTTATGTTGTTATCATAAGGCTTTTTGATAGTCCTAAGTATCAAAAACATTTTTAAAAATTGTATCTTGAATAAAAGAATTTATTAGGAATTAGGTCTAGAGTGTAGCTCGGTATAAGAGCATGTGTTAAGGCCCTTGGTCAGAGGCTAGAGACATGGCTCAGTAGTTGAGAGCATGTACTGCTCATGCAGAGGACCTGAGTTTGGTTCACAGCCCATGTTGAGTGACTCACAACTGTCTGTGTTAGCCAGCTCACAGCTATCTGCAACTCCAGCTCCAAGGGACGGCCTTTTCAGGGCTCTACAGATGCCTGCACTTGACCTATAATTATGTGCACATACACATAATTTGAAATAAAATCTGTTTTTAAAAGACCCTAGGTTTCATCCCACCAGAAAAAGTTATTGGTAAGTAGTTTATGTAGGTTCAGGCTTATTTAGATTGACTAACAGTCTATAAAAAATAGTGTAAAATAAAAGATCAGAGGCATATAAGATCAAGAAAAATCGATGTCCAATTATACGAAGCTCTCATTGGCTGTTATATACTGTGCTCCTTTTCTGGATGCCCATAACAACTTTTGCTTCTGTTTCTGTAGCAATATTGGATTTTAGCATGCAGATACAGATACCTACTTAAATGAAAATCTAAGAAAACTTTCTTTTTTGAGTATTGCACTCTAACAGCCATGCATTCATTCTCCTTTAGTTTTTTAGTTTTTGTTGTAAGGGTTTTGAGGACTCCTTTATGCCTCAGAATACCATGATTAAAAATAGAAATTATTTAGGGGCTGGAGAGATGGCTCAGCGGTTAAGAACACTGGTTGTTCTTGCAGAAGACCCAGGTTCAAATCCCAGCACCCACATGGCCCCTAACAGCTGTCAGTAACTCCAGTTCCAGGGGATCTGATGGACTCTTCTGTCTTCCGCGGGCATTGCACAACATGAGTGCACTTAACCTACATGCAGGCAATATGCTCATACACATAAAATAAAAATAATAAATAAAATATTTTTTAAAAATAGAAATTATTTAATTCTATTACATTGTTTTAAAGGAATCATAGTCTATGAACAATCTTGCTGGGATGTGGGAGGAGTTATAGGTTTTCTGGCTTGCAAGTAAATTGAATAACCTTACATGTTGCTAGGACAGAGTACCTAACTAAGGCAGCTTAAGGAAGGAAGAGTTTATTTTGGCTGACAGTTGAGGGTACAGTCCCATCACTGGTGAGGAAGTCATGGCGGTAGAAGCTTGAAGCAGCTAATGACATTGTATCAATAGTCAAGAAGCAGAGAGAGATGAATGTGGTCTTCAGCTGACTTTCTCCTTTTTATTCAGTCCAGGACCCCAAGTCATACAGGGAACATGGGTCTTCCCACGTCAGTTAAACTAGTTTAGGTAATTCTTCACAGATGTGTCTGGAGGCTAACTTAATCTAGATAATCCCTCAGATTCATGCTTGGGGGCTTGTCTCCTAAGTGAGTCTACTGTCACAGGGAGACAGTATCTGGAAGAGGAATTTGGGGAAAGAGGCCTTTTGCTGGCCTGAACAATACACAGGGAGTTCAATGGGAAGGAAGGAGATTACAAAGGAATAAAAGAAATGGACTGTATGATAACATGAAGAAATCCAAATAGGTGATATAAATGAAGAAACTCAGGGAAGTGATTTGAAATACAGTTCTGTAGTTCATATACTTGGTGAAAATAGGGCTAGAATTCCTCCCTCAGAATCTCTACCTGAAAGTTTTTTCAAATGCTGTCTTACCACTACCCTCCTTAGCTCAAGTTGACCTCATTGTTAAATGACTATGGGAAATAGTAACTCAAAAGGACCTCATTTTTCAATCCAGGGGGGTTGGCTTTTGAAGATGCTATGTTAAAAGTAGAAACCTAGGGGGCTAGAGAGATGGCCTAGCAGTTAAGAGCACTGACTGCTCTTGCAGAGGACCTGTGTTCAATTCCTAGCACCCACGTGGACCCTACGAACCATCCTTAACTCCAGTTCCAGGGTAATCTGACACCTTCTTCTGACCTCCACAGTCATACATGCATGCAAGCAATACACTCATACACATAAAATAAAAATAATAAATTTTTTAAAAAGTAAAAACTTAGGTGGAATGAAAAATTGGCATTAAAAATATAGATTACCAGCTGGGTGTGGTGGCGCACGCCTTTAATCCCAGTACTGGGGAGGCAGAGGCAATCGGATCTCTGTGAGTTCGAGGCCAGCCTGGTCTCCATGGTGAATCCAGGACAGCTGGGGCTACAGGGAGACCATGTCTCAAAAAGACCAAAAAATAAATAAATAAATAAATGAATGAATGAATGAATGAATGAATGAATATTGCCATTTCTAAGCTTTTCTTTATAAATTCTGTTTACATTTTATGTTAGTTCCTATTTGAAAGGAAACCCTTTTCACTAAATAAGCTTAGTATAACTTCAGTTAGTGGCTGAGGAATTTACTGCTTTGCTGTTCATGATTGGACGACTGTTTGTGATGTTCGCCTCTTGTGTGTTAGGTATGGTGAACCGTGAAGTGCTGGAACAAGTAGAACGAGGATACAGGATGCCTTGTCCTCAGGGCTGTCCAGAATCCCTCCATGAATTGATGAATCTTTGTTGGAAGAAGGACCCTGATGAAAGACCCACATTTGAATATATTCAGTCCTTCTTGGAAGACTACTTCACTGCTACAGAGCCACAGTACCAACCAGGAGAAAATTTATAATCCAAGTAGCCTGTTTTGTGTGCACAAATCTGCCAAGACATAAAGACCTTGTGTAGAGTTCCTCACGCACAGGAATCAAAAGAAGATAATCTTCACTCTGCATGTTTTTAATGGTAAACTGGAATTCCAGATATGGTTACACAAACCATTTTTTTTTCCAAGTATTAAATCTAAAGTACCAGTGATACATTTTACAACTTACTTCAGGGTCCAAAGAAAGTAGAGCTAAGATATTGTGACAGTGTGGGTGAGAGCCTGGTAAGAAAGAGCAACAAGACTACTGTTTATAAGGCATTTACTTTCTTTTCTTCCCCAAACTTGGAATTGTTAAGAGAACATTATTTATTGCTATGGACAAAACTAAGGAGGTCATACCACAGTAAGATCTAAAATTAAGGAACCTCCTGGGACCAAATAATTCCATTCCAGTTTTTAAAAATTTCTTGCATTTATTCTCAAAATTTTTTCTGTGTTAAACAGTCAACATGCAATTTTAACATATGCCTCTTTTGTGTGCAAATGGGCCAAGTCTTTCAAAAGCAAACAGTGGATTATAAGCAGTATCTAAAACTTGATTTCGTGTTACACCACAGCAGTGGGGTTTGAAAGGATAATGCACTCTGTTCACACTCATATTCATAGAACTGGAAAATAGAAAAACAAAAATTTTCAATTCAGTCATTTCTCACATTGTTCAATTTAGAATAATGGAGGTAATTAGAAAGTGAATTAATCTTTTATAGGGTTGTGTTGATTTTTTTAAGATGCAATACTATTGAAATTATAGTGTACAATCCAAGGGGAAATCTTATAATCTTTATATAGCATGAAAAGTATGAAAAGTAAAACCTAGCATGTAAGCTGTCCATTTAAAAAATACCTTGGTACTGGGAGATGTTGTTCATACGCTCTTATGGTGATGGGCTCCACAGATAGAAAACATCACTAGATCAGGGACTTGAATGCACTTTTGTTTGTATTGAATATAGACTAGGAGAGAAGAAAATGTATTTAAAAGAAATATGAGAAGAGAAAATTCGAAAGTCTTACAGGTAGAGGGGATGGGATGGAATGTTGATGTGTAAGGGACAGCATGGCTTCGCTGGCACTCAGAGCTCCTCATTAGCTGTTTTCCTAGACTTTAAGAGTTATGAAGTATGACTATAAACTAATTTTTCTTAACATATACACTAAATGAGTGTTACATCCTCAAAATAGTGAAGGTAAGACTTCACACTAATTCTAGTGACCCAACTTTAATGCAAAACCTTTTTAGAACTCCAATTTTCAAATCTCTGTTTGAAACTTCACTTACATTTCAAATATGCTTAATGGCTGTCATTTTTTTCCCTTTTAGAATATAGTTGACTTGGGGAGGAAGACTTAGTCTGAGTTACAGTAATTTAAAGGGAGACATTTGGGGCGGGGGGTGTCCATTTAAAATACAGAAGTAGAACATTCAAAATGAGAATGGTTTTTCTAAGATATTATGAAATATGAATTTGAATAGCAGCATTACTGGTTTAAGAGTCTAGCAAAGGAAAAAAAAGTCTAATATTTGTGTTCTTAAATGCTGTATTTTATAGTCAGACTTTCAGGCATTATATCATGTTCCCATATTTTCGGCATATTTTTAACTACCATCACTTTAATCGTTAAATTTAAAAATCTGTGCCGTGGCATATATGTTCAAACTTAAACCTTTTAAAAATGTGACAAATGAATTTCATGCAAGTTGGCAAAAGTACTGGTACTAAAAGTTGTGTTTCTTCTTTTTTACAAAACCTGTTTAGTATTGAATCCTCTAGCAGGAGGGTCTTCCTAATACAAGTGCCGTCATTATTTGCTCTTATGTCTATAATCTGGGACATGAGTTTTTTAAAGGGCTTTATGTGGACTATGGTATTGTAGTTTTTCTAAGCATTTTTTAAAAGGTAATAAAATTATGTTTATGTACTAATGCTGATCAGAAAGTAAGGCAGGAAAAGTTGATGGTATTCGTTAGAGTTTAGCTGAATGGAGCAGTTCCTTATAATAACAGTTGTATAGTAAGGATAAAACACTAACTTAATGTGTATTCAATTTAAATTGCTATGTATTTTTAAATTGTCAAGAAAAACAGTTTTGTACATTTGAAGATTTTTTTTTCCCCCAACAGCTTTCATCTTTATTGTCTTAACATGGAATTTTAACCCTTACCAAAAAAACAAGTTGGCCGAACAGCCTTCTAGCACACTTTTTTAAAATGAATAATGGTAGCCTAAAACTTAATATTTTTATAAAATATTGTAATATTGTTTTGTGGATAATTGAAATAAAAATTCTTTGTTGAATGCATCTATTTATCTTTTCAGTTGGTATTTATATTTCCTCATTAATTTTTAAAATATTGATATATTCAGATTTATTCTTCATTGGAAAAAATGTTCAGTTACTTATAACTCCTGACAGAGTTGAATCAATTATTTATTAAACTCTGTTGAATTTATTCTACATGATTAATTTTCTGTCCAGTAAATGTCATTTTCTTTTTTTTAATATTTTATTTATTATTTTTATTTTATGTGTATGAGTGTATCGCCTGCATGTACGTGAGTGCACCCGTGTTGTGCAATGCCGTGGAGGTCAGAAGAGGGCTTCCGATTCCCCTGGAACTGGAGTTAAGGACAATTCGTAGCTGCTATATGGGTGCTGGGAATCGAACCCAGGTCCTCTGCAAGAGCAGCCAGTGCTCTTAACCATCTAGCCATCTCTCCATTTTCTTTTTCTAAAATTGTATCAACAAACACAATCGATTTATCACATAGAGAAACCTAAGTGATTTAAGAGAAGCTATACATAGTCTCTGAGGAATGCAAAGTAGAATGGTTACTCTTGACCCCGAAGGACTTGTCTAAAAGTGCACGTATATCTCTGTGTTTTGCAGTTCTTGTCTTTCTGTTTTGTTTTGTTTCGTTTTGTTTTGGAGACAAGTTCTTACTATGTAGCCCTGGCTGGCCTCAAACACTCTTAAGTAGGCCATGCTGGCCTGGAATTCACAGAGATCCACCTGCTTCTGCCTCCCTACTGCTGGAATTATAGGCGTACAGCACCAGGCCTGGCTATAATTTTTTTATTGTGATTTTCAGTACAATAATTGTAATTACTAATTACTTTTTACTATTAAATCATATCAAATTGTTACCCCTTTTCCTGATTTCCAAAAAAATTTAATCAACAAACATGCTTCCTTTAAATTCATTTATATCAATAGTTCCTCAACCCAAGAATGTTTTTCTAGTTTTTGTTGTTCGCCTTTTAATGTTACATGTACTTTTTAACATTAAATTGTATATATTTTGTCAAGTACCATTCCTTTTTTGTGCTTAGAAAGCTCTATCCATCCCACTATTAAATATTCATGTCATTTTATAACTTATGCCTTTTGTTTTTAACATTTATATTCACTTAGCTATTTAAATATAAAATGTTACTTTAGTATGCATTTTTCCCCATAGAGTTTCCCCAGCATATTTATTGGTTAATCCAGTCCTACCTCATTGGTTTGCATCCTTTCCTTTATTATACACACATTTGCATACATACTTTATCCAGTTAACTTACCATTTCAGCCATTAACGTGACCTTGATTTCACTTGATAATGCATTTTAATAGTAAGTTCCCTTCGTTGTTTTTTAATCCTGGTATTTTGACAAAGGCTTGGTGAAGCACAGGCTTTATTTTTTGTATTCCAGAAATGCTGATTCAGCTGAGACCTTGGTTGGTCCTGCATTATGCTTATAAACCAACTTGGTAAGGAGCATTGTCCAAACCAGTGCTTCCTGTCTTACCTGTGCAGGACCTCACTTGGCCCTCATAGTAAAGGCCTTGCTCAGTTCTCTATGGTGTTAGAAGGTCTATTGCACTGCTCTCAGGATGCCACTCCAGGGCTCCTGGGCACCAGGTCCCCATTTGTCACAAAAGAAACCAATGTGCAGAGATGGACAAAGACTGTACCCCACTAGCATTAGCTCCTTAAAATCAGCATCTCCCTGTCCTTTCACCAGCGTTCACTTTGTTGTTGTTTCTTCTTTTTCCTGCTGTTATACTTTTCCCATTTATGACTCCATTTTGGCCAAGAAATTTTTACATAACTATGAGAAAAAGGTATATAAAATCAAACATTTACTGATAATATATCATAAATTTATTTTTAAAACAACTCTTTAGGGGCCAGAGAGATGGCTCAGCAGTTAAGAGCACTGATTATTGTAGTGGACCTGGGTTCTGTTCCCAGCACCCACATGGCAGCTAATAACTCCAGTTCCAGGGGATCCAACACCCTTTTCTGGCCTCTGCAGGCATAGCATGATACGGGTGCACTTAAATACATGGCAGGCAAAACATTCATACACAGAAAATATACATAAATAAGTATAAATAAATCCACAATCCTTTGGTGTAATTTTACTATTTGTAAAAGATAAAAGCAAATATGCAAAAAATGAAGTTCAAGTCAGCAACATAGTGATTTGTAAAAAATACTGTACCAGTACAGTGCTTGATATTTACATGCCAAAGAACAATGGTAGGAAAATACTTAAAATCTTCACTTTGTGTACTTAGATCAATGTATTTCTCTTACAGAGCCTGAAACTGTGTGTGTAAGTAAAAACACTGCGTAACATACAGTAGTCTCAGATCTGAGTGAGGTGTTTTAAGGCAGTGTGTCGTGGTGCATAGGGTGGCGACATGCGATGCCAGTGCATGGGTGTTTTAAGCCAAGGCTGCAGTGAAATGCAACACAGCATGGGCAGGCACTTCCAGAAATGCCTCTGGCTTACTGCATGTTTAATACTAAATTTTTTGTCTTTGCATGTTCAGAAACCTTACAGTCTTGTCAGTCTTTTCACAGCCCCACATTCAATTATGTGATCCCAACTGGAGTCATGACCCACACTTTTGTAAATTTTTTTAATTGATTTTTTTGTGTATTTCATACAGAACATCTTTATCGTCTTTATACCCCCTTCCCCATTGGCACCCTCCCATAGGCACCCCACCCCACTGGAATTCACACATTCTGTCATTTGTGTTAAGACCTATTGTGTCAAGTTAGTGTCCCCAGAAGTGCCTCAGTGCAAGTTCATCCACTAGGGTCTAGGCAAGCCTATCTATAGAGTCCCTCCTTTTAAGAAGATCAGCTCTTCCTCACCCAGCAGCAATCAACTGCCAATAATCAACTAAGATTGGGACCTACTGCCCATTTCCACAGTTCTGTGCAGGGGTTTTGTCTGCTTGTGTTTGCAAAGGTCTTTTGCATGCTGACACCATTGCTATAAATTCATATGAGCAAAGTCCCAGGAGCATGTAAGACTCTTATTTCCATGCACCACTTCCCTGGCTCTTAATCTTTCCACCCCCTCTTCCACAGTGGTCCCTGAGCCCTGGGTGGGTGGAGTTAATATAAAAGTCCTGTCCAAGGACCCACACTGCAGACTCATTCTCCACACTGGCCATTTGTGACCTTTTGTGTTCCTGGTCCTCTGTTGCATAAGGGAGCTTCGTTGACGAGAATTGAGAGATGTATTAGTGTCCTCTTTACCATTTGTTCTATGTTCCATGATCCTTAGGTTGTAGAGGTTGCATTGTAGATGTGCCACTTAGACTTGGGCAATTCAGACAATGTCTGTGTGGAACTCTGATAGCCTCTGTCCGTTTTCAAAAGAAGCTTATGTAATAGTGCTTTGATGTGTGGTGACTGGAATACTTGTTTGTAAATATAAGGAGCCATAGTTTGCATGACCCACATTTTAAGGTTTAAGCTATATAAACTGAGTAATCTTGATTAACATGTCATCAATAGAGAAAGGAATATTTGTGTTTAAAATAAGCAGCCTGGGGCCATGTAAGCCTGATGGCCTGAGTTCAGTTCCTGGAACCCACAAAGAGTGGAAAGTGAGAACTGGCTCCACAAACTCCACCCTCTGCATTCGTGCCTCCACACACAGGTCATCCATGATAATATTAAATGTCTTTAAAATAAGCCTGTGACCCCATGCCATCATTTGCCCTCCACACCCTGACTCTGACTGCCCTCCTGCCAGAAGGCTGGCCTTTATAGAGGCTGTTCCCTTGCTCTCTGATTCCTGTTGTATCAAGTCAAGGAGCTTTGGCCTAAGAGCAGAGAAAGTCAGAAGAGTCAAGCCCTCCTTGGCCTCTTCTATGATTTTGGGGCTGCTGTGTCCCCACAGCCAAAGATTTCTCTCCCCCGGGCTTCCCCATGCATCTCCTTTCCGGGACTGGTAGCAGCTTCCTTTCTGTATCTTTTCTGCCTTAAGGGTGGTGACAGTTTGCTGCTAACCACTTAACTGCATTAGTTTTTGTGGTTCCTCTGTTCTGACCACCCCTTTGTAAATATCTTTTCTAAAAATATTTTTATTTTTATGTGTATGCGTGTATTGCCTGCATGTAAGTACGTGCACCCATGTTGTGCAATGCCCGCTGAGGACCGAAGAGGCTGTTGGATCCTCCGATCCCCAGTTGCTAGCTGCCATGTGGGTGCTGGAATTCGAACCCGGGTCTTCTGCAAGAACATTCAGTGTTCTTAATCGATGAGCCATCTCTCCAGCTCCCCTTTATAAATATCTTAATTTTGGTGTGCTGCCTGTTTCCAGTCGGGAACCTGTCTGATAATTTGTCACAGCTCTATCAGAAAAAAAAAAAAAATCGCTGCATCAAAGTGGAAGTTTTAAGCAAAATTTCCACTGCAATCGCTGTACATATATTTTTTAATTGCTAAGCCATCTATTATAAAACACTGCAGCATATTTAACTAACTATGGGCCTCGGATGAAGTATGAGAAATTCAATTCATGAATGAGAAATGACTAGGAACGGGAGGTGGCGATGCTTAGAAAAGGAAATGGAATGAAAAAGCCAGAACCGTAGTAAAATGATAGAAGCTAAAAATCCCCCGGATCTTTAGGAAACAGCTACTGTTTTTATGCGCATGCCAGTTCCTCCTCGGTTAGTGCACCCCTTCCCTCAAAATGTACGCGCGACCCGGAACCTGGAGCAGAGTGGATGGAGGATTGTGCCGCGGCGCCGCGGGGCGCTGCTCGCTGGAGTCCAAGTCCAGGTGCGCAGCTACGCCCCCGGGAGCCGACCAATCGGCGCCCCCGCCCTGCCGGAGGTCGGGGCCTAGCACCGGAGCGTGGAGCGTCCTTTTCCGTCAGACCTTCCGGCCGGCGCCGAGGGCTCGCCTCTCGCTCCCCGCACCCGGAACATGGTGCACGGCAGGATCTCCCGGCTCTCGGTCCGCGACGTGCGCTTCCCCACGTCGCTTGGGGGCCACGGCTCGGACGCCATGGTAAGCGCGCGGCCTCACGTGGGCAGCTGAGCGCCAGGCTCGGCTGCGAAGTCCAGGCGCGGGGCAGGGCCGACCCCTCCTGAGAAGCGCGAGTGGCCAGTGCGCAGCCTCGACCTCTCAGTCTCTTTCCCCTCTCCCCCTTCAGTCTCTTCTCCCTCTCTCTCCCTTTCTCTCTTCTTCCTCCCTCTCCCTTCCTCCCCCTCTGTCTCTCTTCTCCCTCCCTCCCTCCCTTTCTCCCTATTTCTCTTTCCTTCACTCCTCTCTCTTCTCCCTCTTCTCTCTCCAAAAGGGTTTGGTTGGGTCCCTGCCAAGGAAGCCCTAGACCGAAGCTCTTGTTACTTCTGTGTGGGGGTCTTCATGAGGTTCACATTAATGGAGACCAGGAGTTTGGGGTGGTGATCTGGCCTTTGCCACACCTCAACTCAGTGTCCTGGAGAAGACCTCAGCCACTCTGGGACTCCAGGCTCATCACAGTAGAGCTAGGAAAGCAAGTGTCTGATGACTGTGGGACACTTGAGAGGACACTCGTGGAAAGACTGCACCTACACATGATTAGAGATCAGTCAGCGTAGAGTCGTGCCTGTGCAGGCTTGGGAGAAGAAATAAAGGGAGGGTCCAGATTCTGATTCCCACCTAAATAAATGCCCAAGAACTTTCTTGCTAGCTGAGGATATTAGAGGGACCCTTTCCCAACTGTCTAATGCAGTGACCTAAATAGAGAAGTTTGGAGTCTCTCACTGGCCTTTCCTGCTCTGCCACACTAGACAAACAGCTGCGTCCATGCATAGTGAGGGGGATGTTCTCAGGGGGTGGTCCCCAGGAACTCACAAGGTTAATGTTTTACTTTCTAAGAACCTGAAATGTTTTGACTCAAAACAGGCCTCTCAAAACTAAATAAATGTATTACGTACAGAAGAATGTCTTCTATTCTGAGATGAACTTTTTCCACCTTTTGAAAATCTGTGTCCTTATATTGATGTTATGGTAAATGACTTTTAAAATCTGTTCATGGGCTTGAGGGATGGCTCAGTGGTTAAGAACACTGGCTGCTCTGGCAGAAGACTTGGGTTCAACTCCCAGCACCTACATGATGTCTGACAACCATCCATAACTCCAGTTCCAGGGGATCCAATACCCTCTTCTGTCTTACACAGGCACTGCATGATATGGGTGCACTTACATACATGCAGGCATAACACTCATACACATAAAATAAATTTTAAAAATCTAGTCACAATCCTTTGGGAACTTCCAAGTAAATGTTGATAATTTTGCAACTTGTGAAATGCAAACACACCTCACTGAGTGTGACTGTATTTGCCCTGAGGTTTAGCAGCTGAAGATAAACTTTATATAATCTCTCCAAGCCTAGATTTTCTCATCTACTTAGTGTGTAGGTGCCTGAAAAGAACCTGACACAGAAGGTCCCCAACAGGAGTGGTCTATAGTTAATTACTGCTTAGATGAGGAAACTAAAACAGAGGGGACTCTGACTTAGACCTGACTTTGAATGTGTGAAGTGTTAAGATAGGCCTGGTTTATCTAGGAGAGTTTAAGAAATGGAATGTGGGGCTAGAGAGATGGCTCAGCTGTTAAGAACACTGGTTGTTCTTACAGAAGACCTGGGTTCAAATCCAAGCACCCACATGGCAGCTAACAGCTGTCCATAACTCTAGTTCCAGGGGATCTGACAGCCTCTTCTGTCCACCACAGGCATATTGCACGACAAGGGTGCACATACAGGCAATACACACATACACAGAAAAAAAAAAGAAAGAAATGGAATGTATTTCTGGGCCTGAGTGGGCTATGAGCTCAGGGTGAAGGGAGGTTATCTGGTATCTGTATTGGAAGCTCATAAATACTTGACATTTCTCTTCAGGAGATAGGGTGCATATCATATGCTCTTCTTGGTAGATTGTGCTACTTTGCAGTTCATGGTGATGGCTTTGTTTGCCTCAGCAGACACCACCCCAGCTCCTTTTCAGCAGCAGAGTGAACCTTTCGTGAAGGAGCCCTATAGCTGGCCTCAGTCTGTAAAAGCAAAGGTTCCTGTTAAGATTCGTGGCTTTGTTGGAAACCTGGAGCTCTCAAACCTATATGGACTTGCTAGTTGCTTGTTTGTTCCAGTTTTCACCAAGCATATAGTGAACTCCACAGCTGTGAGCCCAGCTGCCCCCTGGCCACCACCTAGCCATACTTTTGCTTTTCTTTGTCATTGTAAGCTCCCTGGTCCTCTCTCCTTTGGCCCTCAGCAGTTAGAGATGTGCCACCGTACGGCTGTATAGACCAAAGACAAAACTATTCTTGGCCTCATCTGTTCATCAGTCTCCAAACCATCTCATCCTTTGTTTTCCATGCCCTGCTCCAAAACTTATCTAGTCTCCTATGCCTCCATCCCTCCCCTCTTCACTCCAGAGACCCTTTTTATCCTCTTGTTTCCCCAATCTTCCTGTCTTCAGTCTCCTTTTCCAGTGTTTTGGTTTTTTTTTTCCATCCCACATGGACAGTTTCCCACTTTTAGAAGTCTGAACTTGACACTTCATCTCTGCCTCCTTTGCTCCTTTAGTTTCTGCCCTTGATCACTCTTACTGCTTTTTGGCTCTTGCCTTCTGTATCTCCTTCCTCCCTAGTCTGAAATCCAGTGTTTTCCTCCTCTGGGAGTACCATTGTGATTTGGGCTTCCTGTCTCCTGTGCCCCCTGGTACTTCACACTGTCTGCTGCTCCTTCCTCCTGGCGATTATCTTCCTTCTCACCCCTGCCTTCCTGACTCTTCTGTGCTAACCCCTTTCTTTCTTCTTCCAGGCTTTCTCATCTCACCCCATGCTCCCACTATGACACCACTCCATGGTCTCAACTTCTAAGCCTTTCTTTATGAGCAAGGTTTTCCTAATCCCATTTTTGGATCAGCTTCCTCACCTCAATCCAGCTGCTATCTGGACACTTCCTAATTAACTTTTTTTGCCTTCATGTTAAACACCTTCTAAATCAGAACTAATCGTCTTTTACTTCTCACTCCCACCCTCCGTATACAACATACTCCCCCTGATCCTCTGGGATCTTGCTGTCAGGAGCAAAAACTTAGAAACTTCAAGTTATGTTTGGCTTATCTTATTCTTTGACCAGAGCCTCCTAGGGCTTCAATAGAGGACTTCCCTTTCCTGTTGCTTGAGGAAGCAATGTAATCCTATAATTCAGAAACCACCACGGGGTCTTTAATTCTTAGGAGCTCCCTCTTAGCTTCATCTCTGAATTTCTTCTTCAGGAACTCAATGGTGATTCCAAACCAGAATGGGTACAAACCCTTGAAAACATGCCAGTTTGCCTTTTATCTGTCCTCCTTACAGCCTTCACCACCACTGTTACTGTCTTAGTCTATTTTGTATTCCTGTAACAAAGTGTCTGAGGCTGTGTAATTTATAAAGAAAACAGATTTTTTAGTTTACGTGTCTGGAGGTCATAGAACACAGTATCAGCCTCTGCCTAGCTTCTGGTAGGGCCTAGTGCTGCATTGTGTCATGGTGAAGCAGAAAGGGGCAGCAGACTCATATACGGAGCCTGTGTATGACAGAAACCAAAGGGAGGTGCCCATCCAGATTTCTGACAGCCCCTTTTCATGAAACTAATCCAGTCTTGTTTTGTTTTGTTCTTTTCTTGAGACAGGGGCTCCTGTAGCCCAAGCTGGCCTCAAACTTGCTCTATAGGCGAGGATAACCTTGAATTCCTGATCCTCCTGCCTCCCAAATGTTGGAATTACTGGCATTTACCTCCACACCTGGCTACTAATCCAGTCTTAAAAGACCTGCAGCATTTACTATGATACCACATTACAGTTATGCCTGAGTAAAACCAACCTGACTCTTAGCATCCATTTTAAGCCAAGAATAGACCCAAATTGCTAAGAACCTGTTGTTTCTTTGGAATTCTCTTGGAACTGTGCTCTCTAATGAGGACCAGCTCTTTTATCGAAACAGTATATCCAACATGAAATGGGGAATTAAAAGTCGGATCCTTATGAGAGAAGAATTTTGTCCTTTCTGATCTCTAAACATAGACCAGCACACATACACACACATAGCCACAAATGAATGCTATCAGTTTAATCCCATCTATTTTTGACACAAATGGAATAATCTTCATATCTTCTAATGAATATTCTTCAATGTTTGCAGTGCTTTCTTGAATATGTAAAACATCTACACGTACATTCATGCATTGGGTCAAGGGCCAGGATAGATCATGAAGAATTAAAGCTATATGCTTTACATTCCAGAGGAGCTCAAGGCCTGGTAGGCTTGTTTACAAGATAAACTAAGATAAGATTAACTTTTTGGTTACAAGATTAAGTAAAAGTTATTTGTCTAGAGTATTTCCATATTGTAAAAGTCATTCATTCCCACAAAGACCTAAGATATTAATCCATTCATGAGGACACACGTAACCTATTGTCCCTTAAAGGTCCCACCACCTCTCAACACCATGACATTGGGGACCAAGCTTGAATATGAGTTCTAGTGGGGACAAACTATGTACAAATGATAGCAGTTACCTAAGATACTCTCTCTCAGATCCATTAGGTTCCTTCCCCAGTGCTGGAAAGCTTCTATCCTCCACATGTTTTCTGAAGAGTTCAACTTCATGCAGCTTGCTCTGAGTATACTCATCTGACAGTGCCCTCTGTCTTGTAGTTTTCCTCTTCTCCGAGGACTTACCATGCTTTGCCTGATATTGTTAGAGTTTTGGTAACCATGTCTTCTTGACTATAATCTCCTTCAGAGCAAACCATCTGTGTCCCCCCTCAGCAACCCACAGTCTCTGACACACAGCTAGTGCTCAGCATCATGTCACCCTGAATTCCCTACACTGGGCTTTGATGCCATCTCAGGCCTTTCATCTGTCATGCATACCTCCTACCTACCTCCTTCCTCCCCCATTGAATATGAGAATTTACATTCTGCCTCCATAACTTACTCATGCTATGACCTTGAAGTTATTAAACCACTTAAAACTTACTTTTCTCATCTCTAAGACGAGAATAATCGCACCTACTTTCTAATATTGTAAAGATCAAATGAATAATATAAAGCTTTTACAATGTGTTTGGCACAACAAATATGTAACACAAATAATGATGGCAGTAATAAGTTGTCAGCCTTATGCAAAACTCTTCTTCAATGTGTGTTGCAGCCCACATTCATTATTAGCATATTCAAACCTTCTCCCTGGCTTATTGGGATGTAAATATCTGAGGTGTCCACACCACCTATAAATCTGTATTCACTTCCAAACCAGTGCTCCCGTGGACCTTTTACTTCTCTGTCACACACACAAAAAGCCTCTGGGCTTTGTGTTGCTCTCCCTCGCTTAGATTTTTTTTTTTACCTGCCCTTTTGTCCTTCCCTAAGTTCTTTGCCCCTTCAAGAAAATTCCCCCAAGTTCTAGTTCCTCTTTATTTTTCCTTCCCTGTGCTATTTATAATTGACCACATGTCAGCACTTAACCTTCTCTCTTCACCTGTTCTCACCTGGGTCTAGACTTTGGCCTTTTCACTATCTGAACATTTTCTCATGATAGACTTTTTAAGAATTCTCCTGCTTCCATATCAATAAGCCACATTGAGTTTCATAATAGTTGAATCATAATAGTTTATGAAAATTATTGTTTGAAGACTTGTCCCTTCAGTATTTGGTCATGTATAAGGGAGGGGCTCATGGATCCTGGCCCCTTCCCAGGGAGCTAGCTGATGGCTGCTATGGAAGGGGAGTTACTGTCTTAACCACTGGTGAGTTCCCTGTGCTCTGACAGATAACTCTACATCTATGTCCACTCATGGGCAGCCCTAGTTAAACTCAGTGGGTCACAAAACAAAAAGTCATGATAGTGAAAGGGGGCCTTGTGGGAGGAGTGAGGAGTTGGTGGGGATGGCAGGGGGATGAGAGGGGGCGAGTGTGACCAGACTGTAGCATGTACATATGTGAAACTTGTCAAAGAATAAATTAATAAAAAATACTATATGATAGTATAATATTAGTATAATACAGAACAAAATGAACAAATGGGCTATTTTGTCTTGAAGGTTGGGGTCTTTTTGGTCTTTTTGACCCTACAGGGTCTCCTTGTAGGTCCAGCTGGCTTGGAGCTCGCTGTGAAGACCAGGCTGGCCCTGATCTTACAGATATCCACCTACTTCTGCCTCCCAAGTGCTGGACTTAAAGGCATGAGCCACCATACTCCCACATTTATCTCTGACCTTGAATTGTTGTATTGTCACCCTGTATAAATTGCTGCAATGGAGATCTTATATATGAGTTTTCCAAAAACTTTGATTCATTCAATTTGAAATTGCTTGTGAATTTAAATCTTTTCAGACAGCTGTGATCAAAAACTCCTGGGTTAGCCGGGCATGGTGGCGCATACCTTTCATCCCAGGCACTTGGGAGGCAGAGGCAGGAGACTCTTATAAGTTTGAGGCCAGCCTGATCTACATAGAGAGTTCCAGGCCAGCTGGGAGAACCTGTCTCAAGACCAAAAAACAACAACAACAAAAATCCTGGGTTTAAAAGTGATCTGAACACCAAATTTTGACATCATGGCAAACTAGTATTAAAAATGTATGCATTTGGAGCCATGGATTCTGCTTAGTGGGAGAGCATGTGCTAAGCACGTATAAACCCTGGGTTCCATCTCCATCCATTCCCCAAAACTAAACAATGAATTTTTACACTAGTGTGCATCCTTAGGATAACTTCCCTTTGGTTCATTCAAAGCTCCTGCACTCTCTCTTGGTAACATCAAGTATTCATCAGGTTAGAGCTCTTGCATAGCCCTTATTGCATTTCTGGTTTTATGTCTCATTCTTCTGTTTGCTTTGGGATTTCTCATGTTTGCATTTGGGGGTGGGAACCCCTTTCCTACAGCACACAGACCCTGACTACTCAGCTGCCTACGTTGTTATAGAGACGGATGTGGATGATGGGCTCAAGGGCTATGGCATTACCTTTACTCTGGGGAAGGGCACCGAAGTTGGTGAGTTGAAGATTCTTGAGTTTCCAGAATGCTTCATTTTCACTTAGATTCTGACTTTATTATTCTCTGTACCCATACCACTCAAAGGGAGTAAAATCAATGTTTTGCGGTTTCTTACTTTACTGGGAGAAATTGAAAAGTGGCAGCATTTGGCCTCTCTTCTTACAGTCATCTCTAACCTGCTGGAACAGTCCTTGAATCTAGATCCATTTCTCCATGTCAGATTATAACTACCAGAACATTACTCATTGCTTTTCAACTCACAACCATTGTAGAGCTTTGAGGACCCAAAGTAGACAAGTGACCAAGGGTAAGAAGGAGAGCAGATGTGGCACACGCAGCAAGGCTTACTTACTGTGATGTGCTCTGTGAGTCTTCTCAGTTCACAAGATATTTCATATTGGTTTCCAAAGAAAATTCTGTAGTGGTTCACATTGATCCATGTGCAAGTCTCCCCCTCATTTTCCTAAACTGGAAACAGGATGTAATGTAACCTTTCTCAGAGCTGGAGAAGATCTCCGTGGTGATGTTGAGCCCTCTCATGTTTTAGAAGTAAGGAAACTGAAGCCCAGGTTAGTGCTCAACAATGGCAGAACCTGACTTCCCAAAGCATTCTCTATCTAGAGCACTGAGTGACTGTGTGTGTGTGGCGGGGGGTGCTTCTACATGTGTGAGGATGCATGTGGAAGCCAGAGCTCAGCCTCAGGTGTTGTTCCTCAGGTGCCATCCACCTTGTTTTTTGAGTAGGCTGTTTCTCACTGGCCTAGACTTCACCAAGTAGGCTACGCAGGCTGGTCAGCAAGGCCCAGTGCCTGCTCTTCCTCCCTAGCACTGTAATTACTGGCACACTCTACTATACCTGGCTATTTTTACATGTGTTCCAGGGATTGAACTCAGGTAATTGTGCTTTACCAGCTGAGCTACCACCTCCTCAGCCCCTCTTCAGAACATATAAATGCATCTTTTTTTTGTCTGTATAATGTATACACACATAGTACAGAATTCAAGAAGTCCAAAAGGCAACCTTTGCCAAATTTCACTGAATCATGAGGACCTAAAGCCAAATTACGATAGGTTAAAGAATGAGGAAAAAACAGGCTCCCTGCCTATGGTGGCAATATGTACTTCTCTCATGGGTATGTATACTGTCAGTCCTCTTCCTAGCTGTAGAGTAAAAGCCTGACCTTGCTGGAAGATTCTAATGTTAAGCAGATAAAAAGAGGTGTGTGTGTATAGGTAAATGATAAGGGAACCTTTCTCAATCTTTCAGTGGGTACCACCAAGATGGCTCCATTGCACTTCTTCCCAAGCCACTCTGCATGTCACACATGTCAGTCATCTTGCAAGTGACTTCATCCTGCAGACTTGCCTGAGGAGCTGCTATTGCCCTGCACTCTGCAGGGCAGTGGAGAAGTAATTCTAAAAAGAGAAAGAGCTGGCTGTCTCAGCACCATGGTAAAGGTGCCTGCTGCCAACCTCATGACTTGAGTTCAACTCCTAGAACCCACATAGTGGAAGGAGAGAAGCTCTTTCTGCAGGATGTCCTCTGACTTCCACAAGTGGGCCATCGCAGTTGTGATTGTGCATGTATACACACACAACACACACAAAGTAAATATATTTCAAATTTTTTATGTGTATGAATGTTTTGCCTACATGTATGTATGTAAGTGTGCCACATGCATGCGGTACCCATGGAGGCCAGAAGAGGGTGTCAGAGCCCCTGGAACTGGAGTTGTAGATGGTTGTTAGCTGCTATATATGTGTTAGGAACTGGACCCAGGTCCTCTGCAAGAGCAGTCGGTGCTCTTAACCATTCAGTCATCTCTCCATCTCCAAATATATGTATTTTGAAGGAGGGAGAAAGACTAAGTAAACAAAGTCCTATATAAGAAGAATGCATGAACTTATTGGTGAGAGACATAAAAGGAAAGCTCATAGTACACTGTGAGAATTACTGTTTATTAAAAAGTGTGCCTAAGTCGCACAGAGAATGGGTTCTTTCCCTCACCCAGAGACTTGGGGAGGGTTTAGAGCAGAGTGAACCCTAAGAGTAATAGAACTGGTCTGCCAGGCAGAAGAGGAGAGCAAAAAAGGGTGCAGTACCACCTCCTCATTTTCCACCTCCTCCCTGGAATCAAACATCACCTATAAAAGTTCCCCCCAAATTAGTGACTGTTGGCTGAGGTAGATTGGTGAGCTGTTTCAACCTCTGCAACTTTCATTTTACTTGCCTATAGGTTGAGCACTTTACGAAGTTGCTGTCCTTGTCCATTCCATACACCATACAGCACAACCCTAGCGTGTTTCATAACCCACACAGTGAACTTATGAGACCTGGGGAAGGCCACAGAAACCACTCCGTTAGCAGCCAACTGTTTGAACTTCACTGCCTTAGATGCGCAGTGGAGGGACCCTGGACACTAAAATGAGATACTGTTCTCAGGTTGTGCCAAGATGGCATCACCTCCCACCAACTCTTTTTTCTTTTTTTTAATTTTTTATGTGTATGAGTATATTGCCTGCATCTACGTAAGTACACCCATATCATGCAATGCCCACAGAAATCAGTAGAAGAGGGTGTCAGATCCCATGAAACTGGAGTAGCAAACAGTTGTTAGCCACCATATGGGTGCTGGGAACCGAACCTGGGTCCTCTACAAGAGCAGCCAGTGCTCTTAACCACTGAACCATCTCTCCAAACCCCCACCAACCATCATAATGGAGGTCTTGGGTCAGGGGTAAATCAACTCCCATCTTCTTGTGACTTTAATACATGTTCTTTTGTGCTAATGTCAGCTTCTGCCATTTCCAGACCACAGCCTGACAGAATCCATTTTAACTTTGACCTTCCCACATATTTCATGTGACTCAGTGCAGTATCATTGTTACTCAGTACTGGCACTAAAGATGAAAAATGTCATTAGCTCATTCTAATTCTCCTTATGCCTTTATCAGCCTACTTAATCATTATTTTAGGTCCCCCCATGCCCCCAAAATGAGAAAAAAAACAAGTGTTTTCCTCATTACTCTGAAGAATGTGCTTATGTGTATGTGACCAAGAAAAAGGGAGAGCGGGTTATACTTTAATGTATAAAATAGATCAAATCTTCTTATTCTTGTTTTTTTTTTTTTTTTTTTTCCTCCTTAACTCATCTCACAAGAGAAAACCTCTAGGTTTGGTCAGCAAGAAGCTGCCTTTAAGGCCAATTTTTGCCAGATGAATTTCCACAAGCTGGAGTCAGAACACCACAACCCAGATTTCTAGTGAATACAGCAAATGTTAGTTAACTTCTTGCAGCCCCCTCATGTCAAGCAAGGAAAATCCACAGGGTATAGATGAATTTATCACTGTGGCTTGTTCCTCTCTCAGAGTCATAGAAGATGAGATCATCCTTAGCTTTTGTTAAGGCATTTGCTATTGTCATGCAGACCACAGCTGCTATACCCAGTGATTTATAGCAACAGTCAAAGCCATGAGGTCAAGGCTTGAGGTAGATAATAATATACCTCACTGTGAGTCACTGACTTATTCCAGATTTTTGTTTCAATCCAAGAACATCAAAAGGCAAGGAATGAGGAGGATTCTGTCTTCTTGCAGTTTTATGACACGAATATCTGAACTGGAGTGATTGTGTATTCCATTAACAAAAGCCCTAGAGAATCCAGAATGGCTGGTTCAGCCCTAAATGCCATCAGCAAGTGTACAGTCAGTAGAAAGCTGTGTCACTTAGAGGCCAGGCGCACCCTAAGAACATGTTGTGTTACTTTCAAAATGTCTCCAAGTAGGATCTGATTGACAGTAAAACTGTACTACAATTGTCCTCTTAAATGACCTGTGGAATCAGTGCAACACTAAACAAATTTATCAAAGGTTGTTGGTTGGTTGGTTTGGTTTGGTCCAGAGATAGATAGATACATCTATATATATATTTTATGTGTATGAGTGTTTTACCTGCATACATGTAAGTACTGCATACATGTAAGTATGCCCATACATAAAATATCCACAGAGGCCAGAAGAGGGTGTTAGATCCCCTGAAACTGAAGTTATGGATGATTGTTAGCTGCCATGTGGGGCTGGGAACTAAACCCAGGTTCTCTGCAAGAACAACCAGTGCTTTTAACTGATGAGCCATCTCTCCAACCACCCCTCCCCACTGCTTTTTTTGTGGGGTGGGGGTTGAGACAGAGTACTGGCTGGCCTGGAACTCACTCTATAGACCAGGCTGGCCTCAGACTCATAGAGATCCACCTGCCTCTGCCTCCTGAGTGCTGGGACTAAAGGCATGTGCTATCACTCCCAGCTGTCAAAAAGATTTGTAGTGAATTAATTGCTTTGGGGACAAGTTAATGATTTCTTTTGGTCATGGACACATAAACTAAATGTTTTCTAGAATGAACAAAAGATGGAAGAATCTTTCTCACACACATATGAGCCAAGCATTCCACTAAGCCACCTCTAGGCTGTCTTCAAATAACACAGTTAAGCATTTTAAAGCATCCAAAATAAACAATTGATGGTAATGCTAACCCAAATTAAGTTCAGACTTTAAACTATTTATGATAACTGTTGTATAAGTAAGTGAACAAGTTTAATGTTATGAAGATGGTATTTTCATGTATTTAACATTTTTCCAATATATTTTTTTGAATTTTTGTGCATCTTACACATCTTAACCATATTTAGACCCCCTCCCATATCTGTACCCCCCGTAACCCTCCCATATTATGCTAGATGAAATTTATTTCATCTTTTAATAGTGTATGAAGTTGTAGAATGAAGTATTTTCTGTACTTGCCAGCAATTAAAAAGTATTTTTAAAAGTTCTGTCAGTCAGGGTGTTCTTTGTCCTTTGGAATAATGAACCAGCAAGGTTTGGCTTTGAATCTGATTGCTTGAACACTTTACAAAGTGAAAAGGAAACTAGTTTTGGAACAGAACTTGCAGGTCTATGATGTTGCTTTATACATAACAGCCAATCAAAATGTGTTTACTCAGAAAATTTAGCTCACTGTATGGACTTTCAGCTGTTCTAATTGTGGGGTATTACTTATGATAGGCACAGAGACATCTTGGAGGGAATTTGCAAAACATAGACCTCTTGTATTTTCATTCTTTTCATAAAATGTCACACCTCTTTGTAGTATTTTAATGTCTTAATTTATTGACTGCATATTAAAACATGAACAAGAATGAAATCCTATTTTGGTAGTTGTCTGTGCTGTGAATGCCCTTGCCCACCACGTGCTTCACAAGGACCTCAAGGAAATTGTTGGTGACTTCAGAGGCCTCTACAGGCAGCTCACAAGTGATGGGCAGCTCAGATGGGTAAGGTTGTATTGTTTTGTTTTACTTTAATATTTTATTTTATGTGTGTGTATACATGTGTACCTACACGCATGCACACACAGGTATTCATGGAGGCCAGAAGACAGCATCAGATCCCCTGGAGCTGGAGTTATAAGCATTTGTAAGCCACCAGATATGGGCGCTGGGAACTGAATTCAGGTCCTCTGAAAGAGCATCAAGTGCTCTTAACTACTGAGCCATCTGTCCAGGGATATATTTTGTAAAAAGATATTTTGGAGGGGGGGCAGGGTCTCCCTGTAGCCCCAGCTGTCCTGGAACTCACTATGTATACCAGGCTGGCCTTGAACTCACAGAGATCCGCCTGCCTCTGCCTCCGAGTGCTGGGATTAAAGGCGTGTGCCACCATGCTTTTAATAAATAATGTTACTACACTCTATGATGTCCTTTGGTTGCAACAATTATAAAAATAGAGATGAGTTTTCAGTTTTTGAGTAAAAATTTCATTCAGTCAATCTGTTTTGAGGTCATTGATTCCTTTCTATGAAACTTGAATCTGGATACATTTAGATCTCAAGAGATTCATCTCTTATGCACCATGTGGACCACTGTCTTGATTTGAAAAAGGGTCCAGCCAGGCTGAGGTGGTGGCTTATTACCCTAATCTAAGCACTCAAATGGCTGAGGCAGGAAGATCACTGTGAGCTTGAGACCCTGTTTCAAGAAGTCAAAATAAAGTGGTTTAAAGAATAAAAGTCTGATGGGAAACCTTTGGGGAAGAATGTGGGTAATACTGGTGTTGTGGGAGTAGCTTAGTAGGGTAAAGAACATAAGAGGAAAACTAGAACATAGAGGAGCATCGTACTTCGTGTGCATATGTCAGTACCTGGCCCATCAGGTCAAAGCATGAAAGAATAAGGTTCCAAAGAAAGGATGCTAACACAGTGAGGTAACTCCAGTAATCTAGATGTTTCTCATGTCCCCCGATAGCAAGTTTCTCTTTTCCTGACTCTCCTCAGTTTCTTTTCCATACAGAGACAACCACGAGAGAATGCACTTTTCCTATTCCCTGGATTGTATTTTTTATTTTATGTAAAGTAAGTTAAATGTACCTTGAAAAGTATCACCTTGAAGAAACTCCCACTGGCTGAATCTGAAATAATTTGAACATGAGAAAAAATATAATAGTAATGGCTTATAGAACTTATACCTAAGGATTTATTAGTCCATTCAGGTAATAAACAAGCAAGGGAAAGTTGATCATTACAGCAGAATGCAACCTACCGAATATGAGACCAATGATGATATTAGGAAACCACAGCATTGCAGTCATTGTGGCTATCGTTAATTGAGCCAAGTCATCATCAGCGATGCTAAAATCTGGAGGCAATAGCAATCTCCTTATTGGAAAAGGAAAATGGTGACTCCATAGTGAGGAAACCAAATGGACACCAACGTACCAAAGCAGCATAATTTTAAAAACCCTGTTAATAAGATAAAATGACTTCATTACTTCTACATATTCATACTAAAACATAACCTGTAAAAGCTGAATCTAATTACGAAGGAACTCCGGAGGGATACTAGATAAGTCAAGGCTTATACTCTAAAAATAGTACTCTCATTCAAAGAAGACAAAATAATATTCTACATAAAAAGAAACTAAAGACACAGGACAATAAATGCAACACGTGGTCCTAGATATGGATCAGAGGGAAAAAAATTACTGGGAAAATTGGTGATATTTGATTATGGGCTATCTTTTTAATTTTTAAAAATATTTTATTTACTATTTTTATTTTATGTGTATGTGTGTATTGCCTGCATGTAGGTAAGTGTACCTGTGTCATGTAATACCCGTGGAGGACAGAAGAGGCTGTCTGATCCCCTGGAACTGGAGTTACGGACAGTTGTTAACTGCCATATGGGTTCTGGGATTCGAACTCGGGTCTTCTGCAAGAACAACCAGTGTTGTTAAACACTGAGCCATCTCTCCAGTCCTCTATGGGCTATCTTTTAAATAATAATATTCCACCAATATTATATTTCCTATATATGATCATTGTTCTGTGGTAATATAAGAGAATGCCCCAGGTTTTAGGAACTACAAGAGATATGAATGAGTAAGAAAGAATGATGTCTACAACTTTGCTTTTAGATGGTTGAGAAAATAAAACACATGTATGTAGAGAGAGGCAGAAAAGAGAGAGAAGAGAGAGATTGATTTTTAAGGCGGGGCCTCACTGTGTAGTTCAGACTGGCCTTGAATTCTTGATCCTCCTGCCTCAGCTTCCTGAGTGCTGTGATTATAGGTGTGCACCACCACCCATGGTTTGCCTTTAAATTCTCAAAGCATGTCTTTGGAGAAGACCTGGATATCCTTTCACATCTAAGACAAGAAATGTGCTTTGTTTCCCAACCAGATCGGTCCAGAGAAAGGCGTAGTGCACCTGGCCACAGCAGCCATTCTGAACGCTCTGTGGGACCTATGGGCAAAGCAGGAAGGGAAGGTAATGATCTCAGAAACACACCTGTGGCCCTACAACCCAGGAAGACCCATGATTGTCTTTACTGCAGCCCTCTGAAGACCCAAGACAGAGTGCTGCAGGTCCAAAAGAAAATACCAAAATGGCTTGATTCTTTTTCTTCTTCAAGATATATTGGCAGTAGTCAGAAATTTGTCTAAGCAGGGCCAAGGAAGAGGGGGAAGTGTCAAGAAGAAAAAATTAGTCAGGGATAGCAGGAGTCACACAGGCAGCCTTGGGGAGGGGGTGGCAAATGAGCCAGGTGTCTGATGGCGGCAGTTAACTACTAGTGCATTCATATCAAGAATATAATTTATAAGTCTTTTCCTTTTTCTTTTTTTTTTTTTTCCTTTTTTTGTCAAGCCTCTGTGGAAATTGCTTGTGAACATGGTAAGCAGATTCTTTAATATTAGTATTGAAGGTATTTCTAAATGAATAGATTTTATAGATTACTTGGTTTCTTTTGATAAATATATTCAAGACTAATCTGCTATCTGCTGATCATTGATAAGAACAAACAAACATAAAAAATTTAATTTTTTTCCATGCTGGGGATGAACCCAGAGCCTTACATGCTAGACAAGAATTCTATCACTAATCTATACCCCAGCCCATAATAGTCCCTTTCTGATATTGAAGAATGTAGTTGTGCTCATGCCAGCAGCATCCAAAGGATGGGAGGCCGTGAGTTCAGGTCCTGCCTCTCACCTTGGGGTCCTTAACACCATACAAGTTCTCTGAGCTCCCACTGCTTAAGAGCATCATCTGAACCATCAGGATCCTCATAGAATTAGTTTAAAGAACAAATGAGAAAAGGCAAGAACTCCATAAAGTTTGGAAAGTCACATATTATTACTGCAATGTCCCATGGCCACTGTCACTCCAGGAGCAAGATCGGGCCATGACAGTCTACTGTGCAGTTCCATCAGAGCAGCAGCTTAACACTGAATTCTAAAGACATGTACTTGGCTGTTTTCTTTCTCCTTGACCTGTTTATAGCAGGTTGAACACCTGATTATTAAAAAGAGTAAAAAAAAATTCTCTGTGCCAGTTAAAGGGGAATAAACTTCAAACTTGGGCAGACCTGGCTTTGAGTCCAGGCTTCATTGCTAACTAGCTGAGCAAACTTGAGCAGGTTGCTTACTCACTGTGAGAGTCATCTTCCTCTAGATGATGCTTGGAGGTCTACAAATAAAGGTCTACAGTATTATTTGATAGCAAAATGAAGGAATAGCAAAGAAAACTGGACTTGAAGGCTGTTGGGCCAGGAGACCTTACTCCTCCTCTAGGGATAGGTGGTCAGGATGCTGTTACTGCTTCTCTTGGATAGACTAAGGGTAGCATGGGGACCATCTGAAGGGTAGGGAGTAGGAAGGTCAGCCTTTCACCAGAGTACAGTTCATGGTCATCAAAAGAATTTGAAGCCCAACAGAAGCCTAAGGTCTCACAAGAGGACTTTCCATTTTTGGATCCTGTTTTCTGTCTTGGTGCCACTTCTCTTTAAAAAAGTTGGACCTCTGGATTGAAAGAGCTTTAAGTTTTAATGACATATTACTAGTCACAGTAGTGGGAGTGGAGCTATGGTTAATTGCCCTGTGATTGTTCATGGGGGTAGGGATATCAGGCCATCGTGGCCAGAGTGCTGAGTGACCATGAAGGAGGAACCAACCAGGGGCACAGGCAGCATTGTCCAGAGCATTAGCACATTCCCATTCCATCATTCTCTTTCTGTCAGTAAATCAGATTCTCCCTGCTCACCAGGAAGGGAGATGGCCATAGTCACACTGTGGTCAGTGGTGGGCCCAGGCTACCAAATGGCCTGGCTCTGAGAGCAGCCTTCCGTTCACTATACTCTGCTGCTCCAGGATCACTTTTAATACTTCACAGTTCATTACGAGGCAATCATGACAGGTGGAACAGACTCAGAGGTACACAAGGCATCATCTACTCCTTTGCCCTGTGGTGTTTGTTCACCTGGTTCCAGGCCCTGTGACTAGGAAGCTAGCTTAATTGGAAAGAACAGAGCAGGGGCAGGGAGTGAAGGTCAGGACATGAGGTCATGAGAGTCTGAAAGCCTCATCAGGGGTGGCAGTGAGCTTCTGAAATATTAAATGCTGAGGAATGACAGGACCAGACACAGATCCCTTCCTGGAAAGGATAAGCCTATGGGAGTAGTGTAAGCAACTTCTTAGACAAGTAATGTGCCTGCAGATTGATCTGAGCCTTTCCCCTTCTGTCCTGCCACCAGGACCCACAGATGCTGTTATCCTGCATCGATTTCAGGTACATCACTGACGTCTTAACCGAGGAGGAAGCTTATGGTAAGTCACATGTGAGCCATAAAACTGGAAGCCTACTGGTGCTGAGGCATGCACACAGCAACTGCAGACTAAAGCAACTGCAGACTATTATCTAAAGGAGTAATCGATGCACTTTCATTTACTTACTCTTTTTCAGAAATACTGCAGAAAGGTCAAGTTGGTAAAAAAGAAAGAGGTGAGTTCTGAGAAATTTCCTTTCCCTGTTTTCCACTTTTGAGCATCCCCATCCTCTGGGGGAACACATAGTGCTTCCAGATGCCCTGTACTTAGCATTATAACCTCAGACATGTGGCTCTGGGTGACATGGATCATGGCTTTAATGTTATATTGTGGGAAGGGAGTCTTGGGGAACAGGGCATTCAGAGAATATCCTGATTACCTGAACTGGACACTCCAGGGGTGGTCTAATGGCAGGGTATATGTGAAGGACACCTAGGAGAACATCTGGATTCTCTGTGGGCAACAGCTTAGCCCCAGGCAAAGTTCCCTGGAAAATACCAAATGGTGATGAGAGCTGTGTTTTCCAGAAGAGCAAATGCTGACCCACGGCTATCCTGCCTACACCACGTCTTGCGCCTGGCTGGGTTACTCAGACAGCACACTGAAGCAGGTAGGCTTTTCATCCTGGCTTGCAGACAGGCCGAAGAGGCAAAAGCAAGCTGGTTGTTCATGTGTATTCACACCACTATCATCATACATCACTTCTGACACCACATAGGTAGGGATCCTCCCTCCAGCTAGTTCTTCAGTCTCCATGGACTGGGCGTCCTGCAGTGTAACTCAATTCTGACATTGTCCACCAGAAATTAGAGGGACCCCACAGGTTAAGGGCTTGGTCCAAGGACTGCTCCATTTCAGTCACCAATTGTGAAAGTTCAGATTGTTACCTTAGCTTCTGATCAACAACAGCTAGAACACAGATTTCTACAACCCACCCTCTTGAGTTTTATTATTCACTAGAATTGCTCACAGAATTATGAATTCTGTTTACCAGTTTATGTGAAGGATGTAATGTAGAAATAGGTAGAGTGGGTGCACAGAGCAAAGTATGTGAGGTGGGTATGGAGTTTCCATGCCCTCTCTGGGAGCTCTTAGGTACCCCCACATGTTCATTAACTCTGAAGCTCCCTGGACTTTGTCCTTCTATGTTTTTTTCAGGGTATTCATTAGTAAGCATGTTGATTACATCATTGGCTATTGGTAAGCAGCTCGCCTACATCAGCATTTTGTCCCTCTCTAGAGATCTCAGGGTGGGACTAAAAGTTCCATCCCCTTAATCATTGCTTGGTCTTGTGGTGACCAGCTATGAAGGGACACACTTCAGGATCATCTTATTGGTATACAAAAGACAATTATCAATCAGGCGCTGACTTAATAAGTCCTATGTTGGGTTCTTGGTGATGACAATGTAGTTTGTTTTTTGTTTTAAAGGAAGAGACATTCCCAAGTTCTTTATTTTTATTTTTAATTTTTTTTATTTTTGAGAATTTTATACATGAGTAATTGCCTTTGCATTATTTTCATCCCTCTCAGTCCCCCTCCAACTCCTACTAATGTCTACCCACTCCCTCTCAATTTCTTGTCTTCTTTGATTATTATTCTTACATAGTCATATATATATAGTCATTTATATATATATATATAAAATGCACTGAGTCCATTTAGTGGTGCTCATGTGTACTTGTATTAAGGGCTGTCCATTTGGGATTAGATAACCTCTCAGGGAGCTAATCCCTCGAGAAAACTAAGTCTCCCCCCACCCCTCGGCATCCACTGAATGCCTGTAGCTCTTCATCTTGAGGTGGGACCCCATGACATTCCCGCATCCACTGTGGCATATCAACTGGTTTTATCATTATGCAGATCTCCTTAGACCACCACACTGTGGAGATTTCACTGGTGCAGCTTCCCTGTCATGTCTAGAATGCAGTAACTAGCAGCGAATGTCTTGTCCCTCTGGCTCTTACATTCTTTCCACCCCTCTTCTGCAATGTCCCCTGAGCCTTAGGTATAGAGGGTGCATTGTTAATATGGCACTTAGGGCTGGGAATTTCACAGTGACATATTCTCTGCATTTGACCAGAGTTGTGGAACTCTAATTGTTTCCATCTGTTGTAAAAAGAAGATTCTTTGATGAATGATGAGAGGTAAACTTGCCTGTAAATATAAGGGCACGTATTTAGAATACGGTAAGAAATTACATTGGTCTAGAGAAGTGACAGAAGAAGGTTTTTCTCTAGGGTCTATTTTATCTCCAACCATGTGTACTTGGCTATATTTACAATACCATGAATGATTTCTCTCCCACTGGTTTTAAGTCTAATTAGATAGCTGTTGACGGCCCCAAAGATAAAAGTGCCATGACTACACCCATAGGGATAGTTTGCTGGACTGGTCATTGTTGTGGTTCATAGACTTTACAGCTGGGTAGGATCATTGACTAGTTTTCTCTCTTGGCAGCTTGCATAGTGTCCTCTGATAACTATGAGAGCTAGTCTTCAGGGAGGAAGATTCCAGTTCTAGCTCAACTGCTCCAAGTCCTGTGTCCAAAGTATGTTCTGTCTTCAGCAAAAGGGTCTTATCTTCAAGCTCTGGGAGGCAATCAAGAGCTGTGGCAATAGCCTGTATTATTTTTGGAGTCTGTTGGACTGTCTGACCAACAACTCAAAGGGAGGTTTCCCATGCTTGGTACTGTGATTTTTGTTGTATAGTCATCAGCTATACACACACACACTCATACTTGTATGTATATTTTTCAGTAGCACAGCCTAATTTTGATTTAGGTATTCCTAGCCACATAACATTGGCAAGTCACTTAACCATGCTAAGCCTCAGTGTCCTGTGAAACAGGAAAATAATAACCCTTCTCTCATGGGGTGGTTTTAAGGATTCAGATGAAGCTGTAGGTGATCATACCATAGCTAGTTCATAGTTCATTTACTATTCTTTCTTATATTATGGATTTTTTGTTGGTTTTGAGATAGAGTCTCCCTGTAGCCACAGCTGACCTGGAACTCACTCTGTTGATCAGGAGGCTGGCCTCAGTCTCACAGAGATCCATCTGCCCCTGCTTCCAAGTACTGGGATTAAAGGCATGTGGCACCACACCTGGCTAGATTATGGGGTTTTTGTTTGTGTGTTCGTTTCTGTTTTTTGTTTGCTTGTTTTTTGGTCTTTTTGAGACAAGGGTCTCCCTGTAGCCCCAGCTGGCCTGGAACTCAGTATGTAGACCAGGCTGGCCTGGAACTAACAGATATCTGCCTGCCTCTGCCTTCCAAATGCGGGATTAAAAGGCATGCACCACCACACCTAGCTAAATTGCGTTTTTTAACCCATGGCCTCACATGTGCTAGGCAAGCATTCTGCCTAGTCTCTAATCCCAGCCCTTCCTTCTCATCATACTGTATTCACCTAGAGCCAAGAAAGAGGATACAGACAGAGGTAGAGGCTACCTTCTGCCTCTTACTCTTACATCTGTTAGTTCTGTGGATGCCAAAGAAAATTCCAGCTTTAAAAAGAGGGACGTTCATACTACATTCCTCTTCCAGGAATATTATGACAATTGAAGAAATGGTTCCCAGAGAGATGAGGAAAGAAAGCCACCCCACAAGTAGAAAGAGTGATGCTCTGTTGGCCAAACTGTTTCTATCTTTAATTTCAACAACACATGCTTGTTCCTCTGGTTTATACAGCAACCATAATGTTTGTGAAACCCAGATCAGAGACTACTGAAGTACCATCAACCCAGGGAACCTGGTATATTGTACTAAGTGTACAATAAGAGATATATCCCTTTCCCCACAGCTCTGTGCAGCAGCACTGAAGGACGGCTGGACCAGGTAAGTTATTTGTGTAAGAGCAGACTTGACCTTCCCAGTGAACCACACTAAGACACTGAGTGTGTAGAAAGGAGCCAAGGATTAAACGTTACTAATAAGGCCTGAAGCAACTGGTCTGGTGTGGAGGCACACAGACATTTCAACCTAGGTCAGATGTATTCTCTAACATCAAGATGTGAACCCTACTTAGTATCCTAGACTATCACAGACATAAGAGACCTTGGGAGGCATCAGCTTCAAACACCCATTTAGAAAAAATCCACCCTTTCTTTTCTGTGGTACTACAGACTGAACCCAGAGCCTTATGAACACTAAGTGCTTTACCATTGAACTACAACTCCATCCAAGATCTGCAGTCTAACAAGACCCCTGAGTTCTTCCTCATATGTATAGACCCAAGTTTGAGACTTACTGAATTCTTGTCAACTCCTCAGCCAAATCGACTAAGAAGATGAAGAAAGCATAGAAAGAGCTTTGGCATCTGATGGAATTAAGATAAAATCTTGTCCTTTCCCATCATCCCTTTCCAAGGACTCAGTGTATGATGTTAGGCAAATTCTCAACTTCTCTGAACCACATATTCTCTCTCTATGAAATGGAAATAATGTTAACTCATGGTTCTTCTCCAAGTTGCTGAGATGAGCTCTAGCATAGGGTGGATTCAGAGTAGGTGTTCAGTAAGTGTAGCTTCCTGCACTCTGAAGTCAACGCAAGTGAATGAGAAAGATATCATGGGCTTCTCGGCACAAGAAGTGCAGAGCCTCTGACCTTCTTTCGAGTACTATGTATCATGTAGCAGAAATTTGGGGATTTCTGGTATATAAATGTCTTTGGAGGGTTATTTCTGAGTAAGAGGAGGCAAGACTAGATACCCGGGTATGCACAGCTTTTGTGAGCTGAGTGGGCCTCAGGCAGAGAAATCAGGTACAGGTAGACACAAGCTCTGTCTGCAGTGGCAGCCTCTTGCCACTGCTGTTCCCAAATGCAGCCTTAGTTAGTGCTCAATGAACAGGGCAGAGATGCTGGTAAGGGTGGGATTGGATGCCGGCGCCCTGGGGGTGTCCTCTTCTCCACTAACAGTGCCCACACTGGGCCAACTACACTGTCCTCCAGCAGAGTCACAGTGAACATATTTGGATGCCCATGGCTCAAGAGCATAATTGGACATTAAAAGAGATTAGGGAGCTTCCTGTGAGTGGCCAAATGTGTTTTGACGGAGACCTCTACAGGAAGCTGCAGGCCACACTCTGCTGCTTCTCTTTGTGTGACCAAGTCCCGTTCCCTCCCCAAGCCTCAAGCCCTGCACCACAGGGAACAGATTATCCCTGTGGCCTTCCTCCCACTGGACTTATTGGAGACAAAGCCTTCTGTGCAAAGGGTATCGAATGTATGGTCCTTATAAATAAGACTCTTTGGATTCAGGATATAATGGAGTAGGTCATCATGCATGTCTTGTCAACACCACTGTCCTCTTGCATTTGGACCAGGTCATTTGTTTTTAATTCCTTTCTATTCCATAGCAAAAACTCAGCTGTATTGGAGATCTAACCTCTCTCTCTGGTTCCTTAACTGTGGGTAAGCAGATAATGAGAGTCACTGCCCTGATACTGAGTAAAGAGATGTAGTTTGCAGTCTGATTGTCAAGTGACTTATCTAAAGATTGACTTGGAAAGACCAGAGGTTACTAGAAAATGTGGTCTGTGAATGATTGACAGAAAGAGTCACTTTTGCAGAAAGTCCAGGTGCTGACAAGTCAGAGATATATCTAAACTAAGTGTATTTATAGGTTTAAAGTAAAAGTTGGGGCTGATCTCCAGGATGACATTCGTAGATGCCACCTCATCAGGGACATGATCGGACCAGAGAAGACTTTGGTAAATATCTTCTTACACCACTGAGAAGTTGCAGACTTGATTGATGCTTTTTGTGGTTTTAGGGATCGGACTCAGGACAGTATGCATGTTAGCTAGTCACTTTTTGATTGAGCTACACCCCCTCAGCCTTTAAGTCTTCTGTTTCAAGCAAGGATTAAGAACATGGAGAATTTTATGTTTATTGTTAGAGGATGTGTGGTTATGCAGTCTTGAGATAAGTGAATATTTTACAAAAACCGTAGGAGCTGATCAGTTTTAGTTTTTTAATTCTACAGAGCAAATTAAGTCAGACCAGACTGAGAGATCAATCCTTCTTGCTAACATGGATGAGCCTGAACAAACAGGTCTCCCATTGGTACTGCCCTAGGGTGTCAATCATTAACTTCCTTTCTGTAAGTAGCTTATCAGGAGATGGATTTTCAAGGAGCTATTTTTTGGAAAACATTGAAATTTTGGGTAAGGTAAGTATAAAGATTGATCATTCCTATGTACTTTTATAAAATACTTTTTAATATATAAAATATTTTCATACAGTCAGAGTCAAATGTTTTATGAATTTTGAAAAGGCAGGCTTCTTTTGTGAGTTAAAATTCAGTTTTGGAGTGATGTTGTAGGATCATAGTCCCGTTGTTTATACCTGACCTAATACTGCTTTTGTTTTAGAAGGTTATCTTCTTCCAAATAATTTATGATAAAAATAGATTCTGAGCCCCATCCAGTGGTTCTCAGTTCTATGAAGGAGCTCCCACCATTTAGCACAGTCTATAGATACGCATGTTCTTGTTCATCTTCTAAAGGTAATGAAGTTGATGACAGAGGGGTGGGCCCTGTCTCAGGCTCTGCACACCAAGCTCTGGCTCCTCAGCAAGACAGGAAAAAGCCAAAGCCCAATGAACTCACCATCAATGTGACTTACTATTCTTGAGCAACTTATTTAACTTCTCCACATATCAGTTTTCTTATTTGTAAGGTGGGGTAATATGAGCTACGTTGTAGGGTTATAATGAGACTTAAATGGAACAAAACCCATTAAGTGCCTAGTGGAACAGGTGCTTCATTAGTGGTAATTATTTATTAATGTGCTAGACACGGTAGTCAGTAGTCAGTAAAGGACTATTGAATGTACTTTTGTTAACTGTGCATATGATTCAGAAGATGAAAAAATGAAGGCCAGCAAGATAGCTAAGCAGGTAAAGGTGCCTGTTGCCAAGCCTGACAACTTGAGTCCAATCTCCAGAACTCCCATGGCAGAAGGAGAGAACCATCCCCTGCAAGTTGTCCTCTGACCTCCACATGTGCACACACACACACACACACACACACACACACACACACACTAAACATTTTTTTTAGAATGACAAAAATACTTCCAAACAAACAGAACTAACACTGCAGGACATGTGAGGTTTGTTTTTTTTTTGAGGGGGCAATCTAAATGCAGACCTGGCCCCAGCTCAGTGGCCAGTGAGTGCTTCTCATAACCCCATCCAGGATACTTGTAGACATCACAGCAGTTCTATGAACAATTTATATCTCCTCATATCTGGAGCCAGATTTCTAATCCCAGTGGCAGCATTTGTTAGGACTCTGGGTGGGTCTTAGCAGAGGAAATGCCAAAGGAGTCTTACTAAGTAGTAGGTGGCAAAGAATGACAGCATCTTCTGTCTGGGAGCACAGCCCTACAGTAAATTGAAGGGTCTGTGGTTATAGATGATGGATGCCAACCAGCGCTGGGATGTGCCCGAGGCAGTGGAGTGGATGTCAAAACTGGCCGAATTCAAGCCATTGTGGATTGAAGAGCCCACATCCCCTGACGACATCCTGGGCCATGCAACCATTTCCAAGGTAACAAAGCTGCTTCTGCTGTTTCAGCTGTTTCGGTTTTCTAGAGTGGTCATGGGAGACCCTAAAATTTCTTTATTTCCTTTTATATTTCATCATAAAAGAGCTAAATTAATTGTAATGTGAGACAAGGACAGAAGTTGTAGACCTGACATTCTTTTATCTATTACATATTCCCATTTGTCATAAAGAAAATAAGTTACTAAAAGTTGAAAGGCTACCAAGAATCCCAAGACATTCCTAATTGTAAGTGTGGAACTATGACATTGTTTGATATAAATGGTCCGTGACTTAACAGTAGTTCATCATATGATTTTTCTACATTATGATGGTGCAAAAATGAGATGTAGTCGATAGAAACCAAACTTCAAATTCTGAGTATGGATCTTTTCCTGGTTCTCAGTCTGCAGTATGATACTCTTCCCTGCTGCTGGGCAGCAAACAGTGAGCTGTTGCCTCTGTTGCCTCCTCCACCACTATGTCTGCCCTGCTATTCTCTGGAGTTCTTTCACTGCCCTCTCATCACAAATGCTGCTGTAACTGCCTGCACCAGTAGGTCAGCAGCTACTGCTGCCTTCACTACTGCTGCTCTGCTGCTGCTTTCCAAACCCTTTGATCTATCAGTTCAGTCTGCTCTACTAGAGATACAGATCAAGAATAGGCAGAAGGGCTGGAGATGTAGGCCCACTCACCTAGAATGTGCAAGACCCTGGGTTTGATCTCTAGTAACACACATACACAAACAAGAAACACATACACAATTTTTGATCCTAAAGTTGCAACAATACCAGGGGGCTTTATGGGAGGGTATCTCCTGACTCAAAAAAAAAAAAAAAAAAAAAAAAAAAAGAGCTGAACAGCCTGCTTATGTAGCAAGAAAGGGGATATAGCACAAATCAAAACAGACTTTTATGCAAAGAACTATGTTTACATCAATCATGGCAAGCCCCTCATGCAAATAAAATACCACGTTTGTGCCATTCATACACAGTCCTGGGGCTGGAGAGATGGCTCAGCATTTAAGAGCACTGGCTGCTCTTGAGAGGACCTGGGTTCAAGTCCCACCTCCTATATGATGGCTAACAACCATCCCTAACTCCAGTTCCAGGGGATCCGACACCCTTTTCTTACCTCCACAGGCATTATACAACATGGATGCACTTACATACATGCAGACATAATACTCATAGACATAAAATAAAAATAGAAAATATTTTAAAACAACAACAACAGGGGCTGGAGAGATGGTTCAGTAATTAAGAGCACTGGCTGCTCTTGCAGAGGACTCAGGGTCAGATCCCAGCACTCAAATGGCTGCTAACAACAGTCTGTAACTCAGTCCCAGGGGATCTGATGCCCTCTTCTGACTTCCTTGGGCACGGTGCAACATGGGTGTACTTGCATACATGCAGGCAATACACTCATACATATAAAGCAAAAATAATAAATATTAACAACAACAAAAACACAGTCCCTCTTGCAAACAAGGGACTGTTGCACCAATCACAGGCCTTCTTCTGGACCTAAGTAAGGGAAGTGTTTCCCTTCTAGCTTGGGTGAAATGACTTCAGGGTCATTTAGGGTTCATCAAGACTTACCTTGCTTATAGAGTATCCTCAAAGTGTTTGTAGGTCATAGCAGCCAGGGTGCTAGATGCTTGACTTACAGTTTTTCATTCAAGGCAATCAGGGTACTAAGGGAAGTGTCTAAATGCTGTCAAGCAGAGAGTCAAATTGCCTCACCCCCAACAGCTTAGCTTATTTAAAGGAAAAATAATTCAAAAGTATAGTTACAATAAAGGCTTATCATTAGCATTAGTAATGATTTAACAGTATTCAACAGTGCTCTAACAAGGCTGAAGGGACAGGTGGGTCCCTCTCATCTGCCTTAATATTTGGTAGATTAGGTAGTTTGGATGTATTTTCTACTTATGATAATTTCAGCATACAGTGGATTTATGAGAACATGATCCTAGTATAAGCCGAAGAGCATCTGCACCTTTATCACCCCTTATGAAACAAAAAATACAGATTGCATTAGATGATACAGAAGAAAAATTTTGATTAGCTAATGTCAAGATCAGGCCTCCCCAAAACAAGGTTGCCTTGCTATTTCCCAAGAGTCCTTGAAACAAATTCCCAGTAACTGGGAGCTGTCCTCTCTATTTAAGGGTTCAGATAGATCCTGATATGTCAGAAAGTCTTAGAAACTCTGTGTCAGGATGGGTGGCTGCTCTTGCTCAGGTTTTCAGTACTGATTCAGAGCCAGTTGGCTCATTTGTAAAGAGAACTGTAACTTCAAGGGTTTTCATCCTCAGACCAGTGCAAGCTCTGAAAGAAACTGTGTTTAGCCAAAGGCTATAGGATGAGTAGGGAATTGAGGCAGGACAGATCATGGAATTTGAATATATGATTACATCAAATCACAATGGCCAATCATGGCCATCTCCAAGCCCTTGAACCTTTAACTTCTTCTTCCCCGCCCCCGGGCCCAGGCTTGGCCACTTCCATTTGCTACTTACTCTTCTCTCCCTACACATTGTGGGTGAGTACTTTAATTTGGCTCTTGGCCAAGTCCTCCTGCCCTTTTAGGAACATTTTCTCTCTGGAATGACTTTGCATAGCAGTACTTTCTCCTCTTATGATTTGATCTTTAAAATGCAACTGTGGGCTGGTAAGATGGCTCAGCAGGTAAAAATGCTTACTGCCAAGACTGACAACCTGGGCCTCATCCCCAGGACCTACATGGAAATAGAGAACTGACACCTACAAGTTGTTTTCATACCTCCACATGCACACTGTGGCACGTGTGTGTGCACGCTTGCACATACACACGCACACACACTCAAGTTAAACTTTAAATTTAAGTAAAAACATAATAAAATGTAACTGTGATGGGGAGGAATCATGTTCTAAGTTCTGGAAGGGACTTTAATGCCTCTGGCTCCTATTAGAATGTGAGGTTGGAGGGGCAGGACCATTCTCCATTTCTCTTGGTAAATTAGCTGGGGTGTACCTTAGGCCAGACTCTCCACAGAAGCCTGTGTTTAAGGAGTGCCCTCCTTTTACCAGCCGCAGCAGGATGCTGGGTCTGGGTACAGAGTGCCTAGTACAGTAGAAAGAAGCTTATGGAAGGGACAATAGGTATGGGCGGGGACAGATTTGGGAGGTGATCTCACAAAGGGAAGGCCAGAGTCAACTCTGTAAGGAATGACACACTGCAGACTAGTTGATGGAATGGGATCCTTGAAGTGACCACAACTTTGTGAGAGTGTGTGTGTGTGTGTGTGTGTGTGTGTGTGTGTGTGTGTGGTGTGTGTGTGCATATGGAGGCCAGAGCCATTCACTTCATCTTTTGGAGACAGGGTTTCTCACTGAGACATGCAGCTTGTCAATTAGGCTAGGTTGACCAGCAAGAGCGCTCCAGGGATCCTCCAATTTCTCTGTGTCCCCTTGTGCTGAGCCACCTTTTTCTGCTTCTCCAGTGCTGGGATTACAAGTCATGCACCATGCCCAGCTTTTTACACGGGTGCTTGGAATTGAACTTGGGTCCTCATGCTTAAACAGTGACACTTTGACTTTAGACAAAACCTGAACCTCCCAAGGAGAAGTTCCAAAATGAGCATCTTTGCGTCATGGGTGGGCATGACTTTCCGCCTGAGCCCCATTTGCCTTTCCTTTGTTCCTTAAGGTACTTTGTTTTGTTTTGCTTGTGATACTAGGGATGGAACCCAGGGCCTCTGCAGATGCTTTACCACTGGTTTTTGAGACAGGGTCTCACTGTGTAGTCCAGGCTGATCTCAAACTTTGGATCCTCCTACTTTAGCCTCCCTAGTGCTGGGATTACTGGTGTGCACACTATGCCTGGCTCATTCGGATTCTTTTTGTTGTTTTTGTTACATTTTATTTATTCATTTATTCATTCATTCATGTGTGTATGCATGCATATGCACGTGCACATGTGCATGTGTGCAGAAGTACACAGCACAAGTGCATAGGTCAGAGAACATTTTGCAGGAGTCAGGTCTCTTCTTCACCATGTGGGTCCCAGGGATTGAACTCATGTTGTCACCTCTGCCACCTAGAAAGCCTACTTGGATGCTTTTCTGGGCTTTGATCCACCAAAATTTTCCCTGCACAAGTCTATTCCCTCAGGAGGCTCCAAGAAATGTCTGGACTGCAGGTCCAGACAGGGGCCAGAAGGGACTGCCAGGAGGTGTCAGAGGCCAGTACAGCAAGCCAGATGACGGGATCCATTGCTCAGAGGATGCATCTGGTCACAAGGAACCACTGTGGGATCTCGATAGAGTAACTGTGACAAACAGGAGAAAAAGATGAGTTGGCTGGTGGCAACACACAGAGTGGATTGAGATAGGTCTGTAGGAAGTGGGGAATGGGCAGATGGAAACAGAGGCACTGGTGGGAGCTGGGGCTTTTGCCGTTATATGGGAGAAACGAAGGGAGAGGGCAACTGGGAGCGAACAGATTCAGGAAATAATGACGAGGGAACAAAACTTGCTACCTAGTCAGTGCTAGGAACATAGTCTCACAGTGGTGACATGGCTTTCTCCTCTGACCCCTCTTCCTTCTTGCCTCTCTTCTCTTGAGATAAAGAGCTGAGTAGTGCAATTAGAAATTCTAGGAAGTATGAATTATTAGCACAAGAACATATCTTAGAAACCATGTGAGCTGAGTAGTGCAATTAGAAATTCCAGGAAGTATGAATTATTAGCACAAGAACATATCTTAGAAACCATGTGTTAAATGAGACCTGCAGTGAGGAAACAAGTTGCATGTGGCTCTTGTGTATCTAACCCAAGTCACACATCCAATAAAACACAGGGTGAGTCGCGAAGCTGGGGACAGCTGGCTTCTGAATTAAGGGCTCTTCTGCTTCATCTAACGATTCAGATGTCTCCTCTGACTCTGGAATCGGCCTGGAGCTCAAACTCTGCTCTGCACTTTCCAGCTTTGTGATCTGTGATTCTTACTTATGTACTTGTTTCCTCATCTGCAAAATAGTGGTATTGATAGCTCCTCTCACACTGGGCTGTGACCAAGAATCATTAATGCCAAGATGCCCTGGGAGAGAACTGTGGACTCAGGGTTATTAGAGATACAGCACAAAGGAAATGGAGAGAGCAGTGGTCCATGGGAAGCAGAGGCCAGAGCCCATCATGTCCCATCCATTTGCAGCACTGTATAGGTGCTTGAGCATGGGGTAGGCCAGAACGCTGCAGAAGAAATTCTGCACAGCCACAGCCAGGAAGGGAGCAGTAGCAGTGTGTGAACAGCCCTGTTTTTTCCCCGTGTGGGTACATAGTCCTCCCACACACACATTCCTGAGGACATCCTTCTGTCAGGCTTTAAACTTCACATGGCTCAACAGTGGGGATGTTTCCTTCTTCAGCTATAAATATTTTTAAACATTCAGAGTTGCAGTTCAAACATTGGAAAATAATACCAGGCTGCCTTCTCTTGTAGGCACTGGCCCCACTAGGAATTGGTGTCGCCACTGGAGAACAGGTAAGTGGCGTATCCTTGGTATCCTCGTTGACCACTGACAGAGGACAGTCATGTTATGCTCCATCACATGTTGCGTATCTTCTTAGAGACTGGTGATTCATTAGCATCTGAAGTCAGATATAAAGTTTGTGGCTTTTTCTACAATTCACATGACTGACATGGGTCACTGTTTTGTTTTGTTTTTTGTTGTTTTCTCCAAGTGACTACTCAGAATTAACAAGGCTGCAAGTCAGAGTTAATACTGTCAGGGCAAACAAATGGCTTTAAGAAAGCCAACTTCCAAATAGAGTTCAGTGTGACAGCACTGTAAGTACCAGTGCCTGCCCACACCTGCTGCAGTCAGCGTGCAGGTAGAGAAGAGGAACATTTTCCGTCTTCCAGCAAAACGAAAGTATCATCTTGCCACTGTTGCATTTTGTCACTGGGCCACCTGGTTGTGGCTGTTAACAGCATTCTATCCCAGTGCTCCACTTCACCCTCCATTTGCCGGATGATACAACAGTTACTCCCTTAGACATGGAGAGCTGGTGTGAGTTGTACTGGACTCACAGACCTTCAGATTTGTAAAGAAGATGACACACAACCCCCTGTACTGCTAGGGTCATGAGAAAAAAAAAATGAAACACAGACCAGGCTTCCCAAAGGCCAATAAGGACTAACAAGCTGGTGTGGAATCACCATATTGCCAGGCTTAGGCATCCTGAAGACGAAGGCTGACTCTTCTGGTGTTATGTTTAAATCTCTAATTCTGTTTCCAGTGCCACAACCGAGTGATATTTAAGCAGCTCCTACAGGTGAATGCTGTGCAGTTTCTCCAGATTGACAGCTGCAGACTGGGGAGTGTCAATGAAAACCTCTCAGTATTACTGATGGCCAAAAAGTTTGGAAGTAAGGGTGATGCGGAGTCTGCGGGCCACGTCTCCACCCTGCTCCCAGTGAAGGCTGTGCTTTCCTTGCTGGTCTTCCCAGCTCATGAATCTGAAGTTTGCCATGCTCAATTTTTTCCTAACTCTTGTTTAGCCTAATTGAGGAATCTTGACTGATTTTCATCCAGGAATTTCATCCCTAAATATTAATAAACAATCGAATCACCAGTGGACACTAACAAAAACCACAGGGTTCTCTTTCTTCCTCTTCCTCTGTTTTCCTTTTGGCATTAAATTGAAATGTCTTTCTTCCAGTTCCTGTTTGCCCCCATGCGGGTGGAGTTGGCCTCTGTGAACTGGTACAGCACTTGATTATATTTGACTACATATCAGTCTCTGCAAGCCTTCAAAACAGGTGAGTAGCCATGGCACTGTCTCCTTCCCCAGTGCAGCAGCATCCTTAGACTCAGGCCAGCTCTTTGAAAATTCTTCAGTGTCAGAGACACTTGGAACCCTGTGCACTGTTGCACACACCTACAATGGATGTAAAATGCCAGACTGAATAAACCTGACTCGGTTCATTCTTGATGCTTATAAACTAAGCTATGACTCAAAGGCCGACACCATTCAAAGGGTGACTTGGTTTTGCTTTGACTTTTCTACATAGGCCAATAAAAAGTCATTTTTCCTGCCACAAGGGTAGGTTCTTAGTTGACCACTTTGTTTGTAAGTACTATGCGGGTAGAGCTTGCACCTAGAAAACTTCCCGCCCAGTTCCTTTTCCAGGCCTCCTGTTGCTTTCATTATGCGTATGTACTCCATTTCCGTGTAGTCTCTTCTTTCTGGCACTGGAGTCTCTCACCATCTGGTCACATCTTTGGTTTCATCTTATTCCTCAATAGTCCCTTGGAGACCTTTATTTGTGACCCTGGGAACTCAAAGCCAGAGCCTCATACATGCTAGGCAACCCCTCTATTGCTGTGTTACACTCCCAGCCCAACAGGTGGACTTTAAATTGAGGAAGTCTCCATCCAGCCACTTGCACATATATGGATTTGCATATTATGCGTACTTGTCTCCTGGAATTAAATACATCACAGAAACCTTACTAAAGATGTATCCTGAGAACACAGATGGGAACACACATGGGAACGGCAAGTACCAGATTCAGGACAGAGAGAGGTGGCTCTCTCAGGGCACATGGCACTTCACTTAGAAGTGCAATGTTTCTTTCTTTAGCTGGGTAGTGAGTAGACAGGAATTTCCTTTAAATATGCCTAAATTTTTTTTTTTTTTTTGTTCTTTTTGAGACAAGGTCTCCCTGTAGCCCCAGCTGGCCTGGAACTCACTATGTAGACCAGGCTGGCCTTGAACTAGT